TGGGGTGTTTCCAAATCAGAGATAAGAGTCAGCGAATGAAACAGAAAACAGCTACAACACGAAATACGTAGAAAATGAAACCAGGAAAACAAAAATTCCTAGCGAAGGGACGTAACAACGTCGCTACATCGCCATGATGTTGCCACGTACTGATGGAGACACAAAATTTGCAACAAAATTTCCGCCTTTATATTGTTCGGCATTTTGACAAATAACAGAGACCTCCTACAGCAGTAGATTTATATGTCATTCTATATATATATATATATAAAATACATACTACGAATAAAATATTTTGTTACAACATAATCAGAATGAATAAAATATTCTCTCTGTTATAACAACAAGCAGTTTTAATTGGATTTATACCCGTGGTTTCTATTCTAGTGTTTGTAAATTCCTTAAAATATTATGCCATAAATTATATTGGCATACGTTTGCATTCAGAACAGACCAACATTATGACACTATACAAAACCGATCATTTTTCCGAACAATCTTAGCATTTAATTAACAATCACTCTCTAGTTAAGTAATTATTGTGACGAACCTTTTACTTTCTTAAAACAAATGTAATACATAGACATTACCAGGGGCCACAAGAAACTCTCAAATAAAACATATAAATACAACAGAGGCCCACTCTCGGCAATACTCAATTCGTCTCCTCGGCTTCGACAACCCCGAGGGACCAAGAATGACTCCAAATCACAGTGGTTGCCCCGTTCACCAACAAAACAATTCCAATGACAATCTGGACGGGCAACTACTACGAGAAAACACATACAAACCAATGCCACCTCGAAGGGAGTGCCCAGCCGGAGAGACGTTGCCGATCGAATCTGTAGCTACAGCCAGAGAGAGTGTCTGTGTTCTGTCGAGAAGGGTTCAGCCCAAATCAGTCCCCCCTCCTAAACCAGCTTAACCTTCGCCATTAGAACCACAGAGCCGGATGTAGTCGGCTCAAATATTCCTCCGTGTGGCGGTCAAAATATATTTTTGACACAGGCGTTTGCCGCCATCCCTTCCATCAAATATCAGATCCAGCTTCCACAGGGAAACACCACCACATGCGCGTTACACAGCACCGGGTCCCAGGAACCGGCCATACCAGCGGCCAAATTGATTCCAACCGTGACTTGTCCGCAGCGAACCACACCCACGTCCATTCCACTCGGTACGGTCCCATAGGTGTCCTCCTAAGAGACCCCATCGTCCCAGTGGATATTGTTCACAGCTGACAGGGGTTCTACCATGCAGCAGCCCACATAGCAGGGTCCACATCAGTAGTCTTGCGAAGATAATCATCTTTTCCACGAGATCGTCATTATGGAATTAAATCCACCGACGGCCCATCCGGGAGAAATCGACGAAATAAAGGAACTGTGCGTGGCCATGCGCGAGGGGAAGGCATAAGACAGATGCAAATACAACTCCAAACCTAATTCTCGCCAGACACACCTCACACAAAAACGAATACACACAAATTATAACCTATATTTCTGTAATTGACAAACATGAGCCTTTCTCACAATGACCCCAGTGTCCGGATTAGCTAAGAATACAAAATTTTCTTTCAAAAATTTTGCAATCACCACTGGATTTGACTACATGAGCACTAGTTTGGACGAAGTTTCGCGGACTCTGGAACACATCAAATTCAATCGATACACCGCCGTATCCCCTTTTTTGAACGAATTTGGAATGCGAGCTTCATTGAAACTTCGTGCAACCCTACGATTCGCTGCTTTCAAATTCTCATAAGCTTGAGTCCAAAACGACTTATTGGAAAGACCTTCTTCATGCAGTTCAGGGCTCAAATTCCAATTCGCTTCTAAAGGTGACTTAATTTCCTTTCCCAAAATTAATTTAGCCGGGGTAAAGTTGGTACTCTCATGAACGGCAGTATTAAATGCTAAACTCAAAGAGGGAAGATCTTCATCCCACGACTTCTGGGAACTATGATGAAAAATTTTCAATGCAGGCTTAAGGTTAAGTTTGACTCTTTCAGCCAGCGATCCCTGAGGTTAAAAGGCATCGTGTTTATTCGCTTAATCCCCGACTTAAAACACAAATTACAAAAAACTCTAGAACGGAAATATTTGGCATTGTCCGATACCACTGAGGCGGGGATACCATAAGCCGGAAAGTACCGACGTTCCAAAACGTCGCTAACCGTTTTCGCCGGGTAGAAAGCAACAAAATTAGAAAATCCATCTAGCACGACCAAAATGGCTTGATTTCCTCTATTGGTCTTAAACATCGGACCCATGAAATCAATGAAGACTCTCTCCAACGGACGAGATAATGGGATTGCCAAATGAAACCCAATTTGAGTATTCTGATCGACCTTCGCTCGCTGACACAAGTCACAAGTCTTTACATAACTATACATCTCATTCCACATCTTGAGCAAAAAGAAATTATAAGTGATCTTCTTTAAAGTCCCGAAAAGGGAGAATCATGGAAATACATGACCAACGTCTTTCGTAGGGGAGGAGAGATATAATAAAGCCTTCGCTTAACTCCTCTCGGTTGATAGCAAAGGAGATCCTGGTCTACACGAAAGTTACCTGTCACCAACTCAACATTTTACCCCTTCTCTAGGAGATCCAAACAGAAGGGATCCCGCTTCTGGTGTTCCCCAAGAGAAGAATACACTAGGGACCACCTTTGTAACACAGAAATGTAACTCCCTTCCGGTTCAACGGCCTCCCGTTCTTCAAACATACGGGATAACCCATCAGCCACCACATTATCAACTCCCCGAGTATGTGTGACTTAAACTTAAAATGCGCGAGTCTCAGTATCCACCGACTTACATCTTTAACCCTTCTAAGTAGAAAAACCAGAATCAGATTGTCACACTGTAACTCAAATTCCTTATGCTCGAGGTAACTCCTACACTTTTCACAGCCGAATAACACTGCCAAACATTCCTCCTCAGCAGAGGACAAAAGTCTACTATAAAACGAGATAGGAGCTAGTGGCCTATTGACTCTCTGATTTAACAACGCGGAAAACCCCAGAGTGACTAGTATCAGTCACCAAAACAAATTCCTTGCCAATGTCGGGGATTTCCAATGCCGGCGCCTCGCACAGTGCCTCCTTGAGAGAGCCGAATGATCCTTGCAGCTCCTGTTAACACAAACTGAACCCGTTTCTTCTTCAAAGCGTGCAGCGGGGCAGCTTTCCCGGAAAACTCCGGAATAAACATAGCATAAAATCCGACCATTCCGATGAATCGGCGAACAGCACGCGACGTCCTAGAACGCGGAAATTTCATCATCGCCTCAATGCGCTCCGGGATGACTCGCACTCCACGTGAGGACACATAATGGCCCAAATACTTAATTTCACTAGTCCCCAGAGTAATCTTGTCTTTATTCAGGGTAATCCCAGCCTGCTGGAAACAGCAAAAAACCTCCTGAAGATGACCCTCGTGCTCGCCGATAGACGAGGAATAGACCACCAGGTCATCCATGGAATTGAACAGGTATTTCTCCTTCAGATCCCAAAATAAATCATTCATCACAAGACTCAAACCCTGGCACCCCACGCTAATTCCCATGGGCAACTTATTAAATTCGTACAACCCAAACGTTGTGCAGAATTCCATAACCCGTCGGCTAGAGGAAGAGAGTGGAATCTGGTAGTAAGCGAAATTTAAATCCAACACGGAAAATACCACCGAACCACCAAACTGTTGGAAAGCCTGGTTTATCTTTGGTAACGGATAAAAATCATAAACGACCTTCGCGTTGACTCTACGATAGTCGACTACCATACGGAACTCACCTCCCGCCTTGGGCATTAAGACTGCCGGGTTGGCATACGGAGATTTGCTGGGACGTATAACATAGCGCAAAGCAGGATTAAAAGAGAAGATTTCTTCAGTAGCATTTGAGGTTTTCAAGGCGGTGAGTCTGAAGATGGCTGTCTTATAGTTTGTTGCGTAATGTAGTCTGGTAGAAGTTTACCTACTTTTCAGAGGTATTTTCTGCCTCCATCATCGGGGGTACTCATCGCCCTGATGATGGAGGTAACCATGTCGGCGAATTACAACCGGACTACACGGCCCAACAACCCAGAAGACAGCCATCTTCAAGTTTGTTAAGTCTTTTAGACAGATCTATTTCAACAATCTGATCTACAGTAAATGTTTTCCGGTGTCTATACTCATAAATTTTATTGCGTACAAACTGTTCACACTTGCTTGTAGTGAGTTACATGAAGGTGAACTTTAATGCAGTCTAATTATTCCACGTACTCAATATTAACGAGAATTACGATTATTACAATTTGTACTCTGAGGAATATTTGTTGTCCGATACGTAGCGAAATGAAATTCACCTACTATCCTCACTACACGCCTTGAAAGCGCTTCGGGGAGGAGAGATGGGATGGTTAGATGTTAGATCGCAGATGGTGCTTGACAGGCTGACAAAGAAAGATTTCCAGGGATGCTTCCAGGCTTGGCAGCGGCGCTGGGATCGTTGTGTTCACTCCCAGGGGAACTACTTCGAGGGTGATGGATGAATTTAATACCTGAGATAAGAGTACGGGTTTTTATACGCGGTCTTGAAACTTTCCGATCGCACCTCGTAGATGTCACGTACGCACCAGACAGTATGTCGGGAAGGATGCTGGCGAAGCGACTGCGAATATCCGCCTTCGTCCAGCGGTAACTCGAAAACGATACCAAAATATGAAAAGGAAGAATCAAAGATAAAAAGAAACAACCATATATAAAAAAGAAGAAAACCAAACAGAATGAAAAATGATGAAAAACAACTATTTTCAGAAAATATCGTATTTAAAAAAAATCTTAAACTATATCTTTTTTCAAAAGTCGTCAACATTTTTACTAATAACGTAAAATACATCACAATTAACGCCACTGCTCACACATTCGCATATAACGATTAGGATTGGTCGAGGATATGCAGAAGAATGTCTCCTGTCCCCTCCCCAGGGCTCTTGGTAATATCCACGTCACACATCTCTCTCTTATCAGAAACACTTTCCAGACAGTCTCTGACCAGTCACACCGCAACCCACCTCAACACAACACAGACAATTCTAAATTTCTCCGCGAAAATGCTTCGCATGATATCCGCGGTGTTACTGCTCTGTTCTACAGCTGACGTAATTGGTTCACCAAACGCGTATAATGTGACAGAATCTTCTCACACGGAAGCAAATATCACTACAATCCCGAGAGACGTTGAAAATAAGACAATGTACGAGGATTACGTTTCTCTGAAAGACTGGTTTGTGGCACCTCATTTGCTGACTGTACTCCTGGCTGCTTCAGACAAGATCCATAGCTCGAGATGTAAGACCCAGAGTCGCCTTTATTTGAAAGAACTACGCAATTTCACGATGTGGGCAGCGCAGAGTAAGTAAAACATTAAATTATTATTACAATAAACAATTTCATCGCCAAATGTTATTTATTCGATCGAATCAAAGAACATAAGATGGAAGAGACGTGTAACACGCACGGGAAAGAGAATTTTTGTTAGAAATCATAAAGGAAGAGACAATTTGGAAGATCTGGAAGTAGATGGGAGAGTTACAGTAAAATGTATCTAAAGGTAATAGTGTCTGGTAGTTTGTAATGGATTCCTATAGCGACTATGAACGTTCGAATTTTGTGTAAAGCGGTGAGCCACTTTTAACTTCTCAGGAGATACCCTGCCCCGAATGTAATGTGAAGCCACGATCTTTAGACTCCATGACTACATCATAGCTCAGGCGGTTTGCCGCCGGTTTCACACCGCGGAGACTTCTAGTCGCGAGTCTGTGCGATTTGTGCAGGGCAAAGTCGCACTGAGACATGATTTTACCCAAGTACTCCGGTTTTACACTGTTAAAATAATAATAACAATAAACAATTTTAAAATTGTTATTAATTAGATTTAAATATTGTACAAGGTCCGTAGAATATTCCGATATTACACCATTATTTCTAAAATAATAAATTCATTTGCGTCTTATAATCGACAAAATACAGTAATTCAAATGTCATAGTTTTACTATAAAGTTCAACCGAGGTTTCAGAATACTTTTTACTTACAGTCACTGGCATATAATCTTATCAAATACTTAAGCAGAAATATGGAATTAGCCTCCCCCCGCCATTTCTGTGGCTTGAAGTCACCAATACAGCGTTGGTATCTTTGCTACGCTGCAAGTTATGAGCTATCATCCCTCGCCTGAACTTAACTACTCGTGATTTAAAGTTGTACAAATTCTCTGAGACCCTGAGGTGTACTTTTGGTGACGAATGTTATATTACGCACAAACAGGTTTAAATAACATTTCAAATGTACACTTTTGTCTCCAAAAACACACAGAAAATCAATGTTAAATTATCTTTTTCTCAATATGTTTAGGTAAATCTGTGGTTGCCAGATATTTGTTAATCTTGGACAAGCAAAATATGATTGGATATTTCGAAGGCTAGCACGTTCCATCACAATGCAAAGTAAATTATTATTAAAATGTATAAAAACCTTCACTTAAGTACAACGTAAAAGTTAAACACGCTATTAACTTATAAAATATATTAGACCTATAGTCTGAGCATATATGAAAGGGTTATATATATTTATTCTTTTTCAGAGCTTTAAATGTAATGCCATTATATTACTCGTCAATGTTTGGGTGCTGGGAACGCATGTCATTAACTTACATTGATTTACATTATAAAAGAGTTTCAATTTACGCCGGTTCGTCCAGGAACGCATCCAAGGCGTAAATCGAGGGCTACCTGTACATGTAGTAAATACCGCCCAGCCAAAGATGTAGCCGGAAAATTCTCTATGCTCAAGGTTAATTCGGCCGAAGCGTAAATCTCGGTATTCACGTAAACCTACTGTCGAGGTTGAGAACAAAATATATTTTTTCTGAACTTCGGTAAATCAATAATGCGAAGAAGCAGAATATTTATCTTTCAAAGAATAAAAGACATTTCAGACAAAATTTTAATTCGCTAATGATTTAATACACAGCTAAAGCCTCTTCTTACGACACATTCATCTTTTGAATGGTCTTCCATACATTTCTATAGAAGTACAAACATTGGTATCTATTAAAGTATCTTGGTCAATTATCAGCTTTCGGAGCTTCAAGAAACTACAGCTAACTTTGTTGTAGTACACAAAACGCATTTGTGCATTTTAATTTTCCTCAATTTTCGCTTCTCATTATTTATGACAAATGAATTAACTTCTGAGGCGCTGAATAGCCACATGTGTGTGTACAGTTTCTTCAGCTATCTAAAACATATGTTAACAAAGAGTACAGCATACAATTTTCTCTTATTATCACTACAACACTAATCACAAACTCAGTCGATTACGTATTCATAGAAAATAACAAACTCTACACAGAAGATGGCTGTCTTCTGTTTTCTTGCGTCGAGTAGTCAGATAGAAATTTACCTAAGTTTCAGAAGTACTTGTTGCATCCATCATCAGAACGATGATGGAGGCAACAAGGACCTCTGAAACGTCGGTAAACTTCTACTAGACTATACGGCGAAACAACCCAAAAGCCAGCCATCTTCAGAGTCTGCCGTGAAAACCTCACATCCAACATTTCCAAATGATATGGGCACCTGACTACATAATGACTTTCATACTTTGCTGCGTTATGGTATGATAACCTCAGCATACTACATTACTTCCATATAAAATATTCTTTTTTGTTTATTTCAAATCCAGTCAGAAAATTTATGAATACAAACTGAATATTATGTAACGATCAACAGTGAAACCAGCTAACACTACCAACATTTTACGACCTCCTGAAGTCGCTGGACTATGTTAATGGGTTAAGAGCACATCGGATACTGGACAGAAGACCCAGTGAGCCCCAGTACCGTACTAAATATCGAGGTAGCTGAATGCCATAGATCCCTTCAAAGATCGAAATCTGCACTTTCCGCACTATATATATATATATATATATATATACACACATATATATATATGTCATTCACAAATTCGATTCGAGTACAAAATTAGGTTAAGTTGCTTCATGCCGTTCTACAGGAAAAAAACCCATTCAAATAACGTGAACTCTGTTTACCACGTATACACCTAAGATCGAAAGAAAGAGTAATTTCTTTACCTTTGTTTGTAAACATCTGAGGGTCATTCAGTAATTCCGTGAAAAATTAACCATGTCCCAAGTTCCGAAGGACCTTGTTTCTTACTCGTAACTCGTATTTCAAACACGACTATTGCAATCGACAACTAATTAGTTTCGATTATAATCGATACGTAATTTGAGGTTCTCGATCGGGAGTAGATATCGATGTTGGTCTTCTCGATTGTAACGCCGTGTGTACTGAAGGTGGGAGAGAGTATATTCCTCCGAATCATTGATAAAAGTAATAATAAAAAGACACCAGATATTTTGATGCGATCGAATCTGTTATGTTGACATTTTACATTTGTATATTGCCTTATAACAAAATCTAATAATGGCACTAGTGTTATAAGTAAAGCTGTCCGTAGTTCTTAATTTAAGCAGCACAGTACACATACAGGAGGTCAATGGTTACTTCATGTCTCGACCATTTACCCCCAAGGCTCCAGAACCAATCCAGGTAATAAAAATGCTACCTTGCCAGGAATCAAACCCCTGTAGTCCTATCCAATGCACTGTCACCTGTTCCGACTCATAGCATCAGTGGTATTAAAAGTTACGACGTGTAATTCTTCGGAACTCCGATTATTTTTGTGAAACTGAATTTTCATATCAACGAATATAAATTTTACTGTCTTCTAAATTCATCACCGGAATCTGGTAACATATTAACCGAAGTAGCCTTCTCCATTAGCACATCCCAAAAGACAGCCAGCGATATTCATGTGTGTTTTGCCTGTGTAATGACTACTTTCTATCTCTAGTGTTCGACTCGGCTGCCAAGATTCCAGTAGGCGTTCTAGCAGGAAACCAGTACCACCTGGGACATTACGACGAATGCGTGGAAATATCGCTGGACGCCGGAGAGACTTTCGGCGGAATGCTAGAAGGACAGTACTGCTTAGCAGAAATACAATTTGACACCGCAATTTCTCTGGAAGCAGACCCTTACACCCTCAACTACGACCCCAAGTCCTCTGCTTTTGAAAAGATTAAGGTGAGAGCTAATGAGATAAAACCCTATAGATGGCCTTTCTGAAGTGTACGTTTGTCGAGAATAATCGATTAATATTAACAGTCCGATTTTTCCGAAACAATGAAACTAATTGTTGTGATTTATTGGGAACCTGATTCGCAGTACAAACACGACCCATCCAAAGTACGACGTGACGTCATGCACTGGGCTTTGTGTACGCCCGCTTCGTGTTCTCCGGAGGAACTGAACGAAGTTTTGAAACAAGAGCTCACCAAGGTCGGCGAATCTCACGGCATCCAATTCACATCCCACATATCGCACGAACTTTGTCACACTTTGGACCACACACAGCCTTTATCAGCTGGGGATATTGGCTACTTGTAAGTATCCTACCAAGAACCAGTTCGCCTAGCACCTGACACAATCCTTTCAGCTTTCATTTTACGAAGGGTAAGAACTGATACGTAAGTTGTCCATCTGTCCCCGTACACATGTTTCATATGCAGAACTCCTTGATGGATTCTGGTGAAATTTGGTATTGACAGTGCACTTTAAAAATTCACGAGGTGCCTCGTTCAAATCTTGACCGGGACACTGACTAACTTGGCTGTAATTTCTTGTTATTTTCATGAGGATTTAAATGTAGATCATAAATAGGCCACAACCATTTGCTGTCAAATATTTTCAAGTTCACCGAATGCGATAATTTCTGAACAGCAATCTTTAGTAATGTACAATATAGTTACCATCTCACACAGAAGTAAAAATTACATTTAAATATCAACAGAAATTATTCAAGACCGAGTATCTTTGGAGAAGGTCTCTGTATAATACTAGTATATCGGTTTTTTTTAATTAATATTATCACAAATTAAATTCAGCATAATCCTCCTTATAGCCTAAATATAAGATGAAATATAATCATTCATTATCGTGTTCACAATAGGCCAGCAGTCTCTAGTTCACAGAGAAACTACGCACGCACATTTTTCAAATTTACAAACATTTTACGTAATTTCTTAACAAGTTTGTTGATCCTTTGCATACACTTACCGGTATATTCCAGAAGAGACTTAAGTCTGGAGCACACAATTCTACGCGCGCCATACTTGAATATGGAAGAGAGAGATCGTTGCGCCATCTTGCGATAAAATTCTAAATTATTTATTTCTAAAGGAAAACCAATAATGTGGCACATTGCAGCCAACAAAACAAACTTCTTACTTATCAAACAAAGCAGTGCAACCAAAAAAGTAATTTACCTGCATTGTAACGATTTTTAAAAACGCAAAAACACTAACTCATTTCTACGGCGGACATAGACGTTTCAATAACGCTTTAATTTCACTGTTCAAATACATACATACAAGAGGCTAAATTTCTATGCTAAAAAGAATTTGTTACAAATTTCATACTATTGAAATATTTAGTTACCTTGGAACCACTAATCTCTTTAAACAATCAAATACGTACTTATGTAATACGCACACCCGATAGATAGTTCAGTATCAGTTCGTTGAATATATTAAACTTTATTTTTATTTGTAAATTTCGATCTAATCTCTGTCTAAAACAATCTGTAAATCAAGCCTATGTCATAAATTGTTTTATAAACATTAATATTTAATTTGTAAGAAATATAACATCATGTTGCCCAGTTTCCTTAAGACTTTAATAAATCTCACGTATCTCATTTTCAGGTTTGTTCTGATATCACTTATAAGTTTGCTCGTGTCCAGCACATTGTACGACTACAAATTTACCACTGACCTGCCTGAGAATAAATTAGAACCAAGTGGGTATATGAGTTGTATTATTTTATATAAATTCTATATTTAACAAATATTTTACATCATATTGCCATTCAACCTAGTGTTATAGCTGTTGAGTTACCACGTGAAAATAGAAAAATAATTGAATGTCAAAATTCCACCAAATTTTTCAACACGTTAATATTAAAATTGCTATCCTGTTAATTCTCAGTCTTACAGATGGGACATGGCATTAATCGTGTACGTTTAGCCGGTAGGAAATATGATAAATATTTTTAATTTGTAAACGTAAAATAATCGAAAAATCTTGAACATAAAAGATGTACCAGTATTGGATGCTGCTGGAACGATTGTGAAATACAAGAGAATTGAATCGGATATATGGAACGTCATTTGAAGTCACTTTTTAAAACACATACTAAATTTTCTTTAAAGTGTCATTAGTGGTCAAAAGAGTTAGGTATTATTGTATTAGTAGCCACGTCAAAATGACTGGAGCTCTTTCCATGAATACGCTTATGGTTTCAATGTACAAATTTCTTTATTTGCTTTGATTTGTTATCCAACACACAACCGCGTTAAGGAAACGGGCCTTCTTATATAAATCAATCACTTTACAGCCAATTAGCTACATAAGAACACAAGTTATATTACAAAATACTGTACATTTAAATGTCAGGAATAAATCCCTGTCTACATGTCTAAATTAATTTTAACTTCCAAACTCCAATCTAATAAAACGAACTGTAATAAATTAAATAACTGGGTTTTTTCCTTTCAAATATTTCATTGCGTTTGCTGATAAAGTTGAACGCAACTGGCATTTCCTGGTACCGGGGTGGAACTGCATAAATTACTGCCAAATGCTACAAGGTTATCCCGATAAGTAAAATATCACTTAAAAGACAATACAATCAACCAGGAAGTCATAGTTACCATAAAATGGAGAAAGCTTTATTAGTAATCAGCAGGCAAAACGTAATTTTATACTAAAAAATTATTCATTCACAAACATCTCAACCGATCAAAATTCTTACAAATTCCTACGGTTTCTTCAGATAACAATGTAACCTTTCTAAAAAAATATATTTATTCAATAAATATAGAGCAAAAGTAACTTTACATTAAATTATAATTGATTTTTATAATACATCATTATACCCTTAATAAATTATAATCTATAAACGTTGCTTGTTTTTCAGCTACGAAGAACCCGTCAAAAATGGAGAAAATATTTTTGTGTTTCTCCGCGAGACGAAGCGTTAAGAATCTTTTCGCCCGAAATTCCATTCATCCAGCTCTTGAAACAACTCACGGTGCCAGAGTATTTTTCATGTTGATGATAATTATGGGACACAGGATTATTACATATGGAGGTCATCCTATATTCAATGCTGAAACCGAGGAAAGGGTACGCAATCCTCGAGTCAAAATACACAACAAATTTCGTATTCAGAATTGTCCAGAACCGAATCACAATTCTGATTGTCCTAAGCGAAGTTTTCTTTAAAATGATCTCACTGTAACTTTGAAAACATCTGACGAATGTAAGTAGTAACAAAACTAAACTCTTAACAGAGAAAATACATTTTCTCGACAACAGAAAAACATTTCGTCGATGTCCTAAAGCAAGTTGTCTAGAAATAAATAAAAACTTTTACAACACTAAGAAATCACTTTATAATATTTATACAAATGTAATTATACAATGAAAATGTTATCAAATTTATAGGATTGATTTTACTAAATTGAAGGTAATGTAATTTATTAATCAAATTGTAGTTATAATTTCCGGACTTAAAACCCTTTAACTTAACGCCAGAAAATCTACTAGTGTGTGGTCTTTGAGCATAAAATGTGTATTCATACATTTTAATTGCTTGTTTTTTCACTTATTCTGTATTTATAGTTATCATATTATATCCCATTGCATAAAAATGAATGAATTATTACCATGATTTTTAAAGTTACAGAAGACATAAAAGACAAATTAGTTCACTTATCTTAACCGATTTAACTTAATTAAACTAGCCAAAACATTTTTTCCTTATCTCTAAGGTCTTTGTTTGTTATAATGCATACAAATTTATTCCTAAATAGATTAATTATTAATTTATATTTAATATTAACGTACAAATATTGCTGAAACATTTTTAAGTGAAGCAGACATAAGGTTTGTGCCATAACTTAACTCTTCAATTTTCCTGTAACACGACAGAAAAAATTTAGTGTAATCAACAAATTCCTTGAGGATTTCTGTCTTCTGGGTTGTTGGGCTGTGTAGTCTGGTCGATGTTTACCAACGTTTCAGAGGTCATACTGCCTCCGTCATCAGGGCAATAAGTACACATCGCCCTAATTATGAAGGTAATTTCTATCAGACTACATGGCTCAAGATTCCAGAAGACGCCCTGCCCTGATGACGGAGGCAGTGAGACCTCTGAAACGTTGGTTAACATCGACCAGACTACACAGCGCAACAACCCAGAAGACAGAAATCTTCATACTCTGATGACGGAGGCAGTATGACCTCTGAAACGTTGGTAAACATCGACCAGACTACACAGCGCAACAACCCAGAAGACAGAAATCTTCATACTCTGATGAGGGAGGCAGTATGACCTCTGAAACGTTGGTAAACATCGACCAGACTACACAGCGCAACAAACCCAGAAGACAGAAATCTCTCACCGTGAAACCAACAAATCATACAACATATTTCGCTGCGTCTAATATATTTTGTTTGTTCCACAGCTTTTTCGGAGCATACCATCTATGTTACTGGGTAATGGAACGGTTATTGTAGACGGATTCTTTACCCTGAGTGGATTACTGATGTCATATTCCTTATTAGAGTCCCAGAGCAAATCAAAACGAACCAGCTTAGCAAAATCGGTCCTTGTACGTTTCTTCAGGTAAGAAATAGTAAAACTCTGTCGTTACAAACTGCGTCAAATTGAATTGACTGTAAGCCTATAAATCTCATTCGTTCTCGTATCATACGCTAAATTATTGCACCAAATATGACATATTATAATATCCGCTTCGTGTAACATCAGTGTCTTGCAGTAGAGGGGCTGGGAGAAATGTGGATAACACGCTTTGCGCATGCTCTGCTCAGTATTACCGTCCGAAATAGCATTTATCTTCTGTGCGCATGTGTAACAACATATCGAACACAGAACGTTATTTAATCACTGAATTCCTCTTTAATGTACTGACACGTGAACCTCTATGTCTATGGAGTTCAGACGCAACGTAAACTGACGAAACCTATTTATTTCGACGATAAATTTCAAACACAAACACAGGCCTATATCAATTTTAATTACTGAATTAATCGGGATTAGAATAATTAATGGTTAATAAATTATTTACAAAAAACGAGTAAAAATACGTGGTATAACTCCCTTCAAAAGTTTAAATTTATACAGTGGGTTTAACAAGACGTATACATTACTAATTATATATAGTTTAATCGAACCTTTTCTACAGCACACACTACAAGTACATATTCCAATTATCTACGTTAAATTTTTGAGACAAAATTCAAGATCCATAACGTACAGTTAAGTGACTAAACAGTATTTAGAGGACACAAGAGGAGAATAATATTAAAATAAATCTTAAAAGAATAGTTTGGGAAATTGTAAAGCGAATTCATCTGACTCAGAATACTTAAGAGAGGAGATTTCTTGAAATCCATGCAATGAACTTTCGTAATGCACAAACACGACTTTTATTAACCATCTGACCGACCATCAGCTTTTTAGTAGAACTTTACACGGCATCACGTTATTGATTTAATGTCTGAAATTCTGTAGAACAGTTTATTTAACATTGCCGTTAAAGCTCAGACTATACGTCATCAAATTGTGTTATAATTAATAATGAATTTAAAAGAATATAGAAGGAAGCAGCCGTGGCCTAATTTAAAATACTATACCCTCATTAAGCTATAGGGATTCAGGTTAGAATAAGAATACTAAACTGCTCATATCAAAGGGATATTACGACACAAAATGTCAGGAACTTACATTAATTTGTGACAGTGATGACAAGTCTTAAGACGTCTCGCACTATCGCCATGTTACAATTATAGTTAATTGACCTCTGTAGTGCCATGGCTTTCGTACGATATTTAGTTAAAATCTGTCAATTAATTTATAATGTATGAAACGCGGAGACCCACACATCTGTAGGTCCAAAGCGTATCCATCCGTTTAATAAGAAATAAAGACTAAAAATGTAATTCTAAGATAAACGTCTTAGTGTAAAAGTGGTAACTTCACAGAAACAGTACGTTCATAGGACTTGACGCTTAAAATCTCTGACGATTAGTTGAATTTTATCAAAGCTGAAGTCAATTGTTTCGGAGACCGTTTTTGCTTCCATCATCACGGTAATGCTTAAGTGGTATTTGTAGTTATATGCATATTCAGAGACATTATCGCAATATCTTGTACCCTTAACCAACAAGTTATACATTCAATCATTCACTTTTGACAGAGGCACAGACGTTTTCTGAAACATTGGTTTTTCCGCGAATATTTCGCAGCTGACAGAATGAGAAAAGTGTTCAAGTATCTTTATAATAACAAATCTTAATACGAGATGAAGACCTGTCAAAGATTCATAAGACGTGTGGCGTATTGCGCAGATTGACACCATCGTATATGATGTTGGTGTTCTTCCATGCCACCCTCCTGCACCACATGGGATCTGGCCCTTTCTGGGACGTCACAGTGGGGCGTGAGCAACGGCGGTGCGCGACTAACTGGTGGTCTAACCTTCTCTATATCAACAACTACATCAACGTCCGTGAAATGGTGAGTAAATTACGTAATTGTCAACTGTTTCCTAGGTTTTGTGCTATAATGTCATTAGTTTTACATTTCAACTAAAGTTGTACAGTAATTAGAATAGATTCTTAAAAATCATATATTCTACATTATACAGGGTGATTCCAAAAGGACTTTACTACTTTGAAAGTATATAGAAATTTAATCAGAAAGCTTACATAATTGGTTCCAATATTTGATGCTAAATTTTGTCATTCTATAGACACGCAAAAGATGTCACGAGATGTTAGTGAGACAGAAATAAAAAAGGTGTGTTATATGGCAACATTTTATGTACAATTAACAAATAAAAATGCATAGGTCTATACAAAACACTATTGTTTATGTATTAATAGTCTGCACAGAACAATACATGCGACATGTAAAAATATTGGCTGACCCCCCTCCCCATGACCGATGGGAGTATAAATCAGATTATTCGTACCCATGATGATGGAGGCAACAGAAACCTCCGAAACGCGCTACAACCCAGAAGACAGCCATCTTCATGTTTTCGTTGCGTCCTAAGCCACCAAGAAGCATGTGTACCTTCTACTCTACCGGTTTATAACATCGCAAAGAACGAATATGGAAAGTAGATTTCGCCTTTTGGGTAGGCCACACATCGCACTCTCATTGAATCACGTATTCTTTTTTTTTTATAGTGCATGTTCCAGTCCTGGTACCTCGCGGCGGACTTCCAGCTGTACATAGTTTCTCTGTTGGCCGTCTCCATAATAGCGCGCTGGCCTCGCCTGGGCTACGCGGCACTTGGACTACTCACGACGACCTCCGTAGTCGTTTCTTCAGTCCTCATCTACCAGAATCAGGCGGAGGCACTCCTATTCCCATATCCCGAGTAAGTAAACCTCAAGTGAGGATCTTCAGTAAACCTGGTATCGGGTTTGTTAAGTTCGACGTCAAACAAAACTGAAACTTTGTAATTTTCCCACAATCGGCAATACCAACGCGACGCAACCTCAAATGATATGATATGACAGATTTTCTTTAAGTTCAGTGTACACTTCACGCAGGAGGCTACTCCGAACTAGCTCTCCGTCTATATTTCCTAAAATCTATGCTCTTAGTCGTAAAGTGGAAGGATTATTCTCTGTCATTACGTATTATCCTCTGCAAGGATGCAAGCGTCATCATGACGTCATCGCTCGGGTGTTGGTGTTCATCGTCCATACGCAAATATTAACTCCAGAGTGGCTTTCAGAATTTTCGTGAAGTGCCCAGTCTCTGTGCTATCGACTCCTCTCGATCACCTCATAGCACGATCAGTCAGTCCTTCCGGGGTAACAAACTAAACCAGACAAGATTTTTACCTTCATCTTTAAATTATTTATAATTTATTTCCTTTCTTACGAAGCTAGACCTTCGCTGGGAAAATTCAAAAGACAATCACAATAGGAGGACAATCTACACCCAAAGAATTCTGTTACAGATTGGAAGCTGTGCGATACGTTTGTGGACAATCTACAGCCAAAGACAGCTTCCAATATGCAGATTGGAAGCTGTGCGATACGTTTGTTTTTACGTGTCATTGTGAGTGTGGACAGATTTCGCTTCTGTACCACGTGACCCCACCGAAATCGGACCACATCAGCCTCCCCACCTAGTCACATGGCGTTCTTCTGATTGGCTTTACCCAAGTTTCACGGGAAAAATGAATATGCTATAGCCTCTCATTTCGAAAAGAATACCCACGTGTCAGCTTTGCCAGTTTCATTAAATAGGATGCTGGTCCGACGTCTTTGGTCCCACAGTCGGGGTACACCCGGAGGTACTGAGAAATACCACAGTTACACAAGTTCCTGGATCAGATTGTACCGAGTTAAACCAGTAACTACAAATGAAGTCTTCCGGAGACCAAACTGAAGTTGCTATTAACGTTTTCCAACATATGTTGACGTTACAAAAGTTCCTGGATCATATTGTACCGACTTAAACCAGTAACTACAAATGACGTCTCCCGGAGACCAAACTGAAGTTGCTATTAACGTTTTCAAACATATGTTGAGGATTCTGGGCCGAGGAAGTTTCGAACAGACGGAATTTTGTCGTGTTGGGGACTTCCGATTTCGTGTTTCGTAGAAACAGTATTTTTGTAAATAAAAGGGGTTTGTTAGCGAGACGATGTGAAATATAGAGCTGTAGAACAAATCCGAAAATGAGGCTTATACATCAATGATCCGTTTGTTGTGAAAGATAAGCGAGTAATGGAGGCTTCTGTTGGAACACCTAGACACGGATTAAGAAAAATGAATGGATCTTATGACCGGGAAAGGATTCATTAAGCTAAAGAATGAGCCTAATTGAGACATTTCGTTAAAACGACGATGAACATTTAGTTTCCATAAACAGGAAACATGGTTTAGCATCACGAAGATCAGTTATTTCCCAAGAAAAGAACTTTTACTGCTAGAGAAAACTGATAGTGAATTTCGGTTGATTTACAGTAACATGAGGGATCTCAGAGACAGTTCGTACTTCCAGACCATTTATGTGGGGACGCAACACAGGGCTACGCCGTACTTCGTCGGGGTCATTTCTGGTGTCGTGCTTTACAAGCTGAGGAATTGTAGCCACAGACTCGGGAAGGTACGTATATATTTTGACCAATGGATCAATAGTCACGGAGACCACAGTTAAGCTCATGAGTCAGTCTGTGATAAGTCTAGGATGATCGCTCTGGCACTACATTCGCGGAAACAGGTCTGCCCATGCGCCAGACAGGAGAATGGAAACAGAATGACCGTCTGATGGAACCTGCAAATCTGCGCATGCGCAATCTTTCAGTCGTCAATTGCATTTACAACCATCAATTACTATGCATTCTCAAACAACATAATCGCTGCTGATACCAAGTACAGTCAAACCTCGGTTCACGAACGCCTCGGATCACGAACAATTCAGTTTACGAACAAATTTTCCGAAAACAATGCGTCTGTGTCTCGAGTTACGAACACGCAAGCCGTCAACGTCGTGGAGCGATAAGCTGGGAGTATCAGCGTCGGCAGTATTCGTAGAAGAAGAAGAAGTACCCCAAGTCACAGAATTAACACTCAGAGACTTTTGGAAACACCATTTTAATATTCTTCATTGCTTAACTCTCGTTGACAAAGCCTGGCAGCAATTGACTTACAGGACCATGAATTCAGCCTGGAGGAAATTATGGCCGGAATGTGTTGCAGGCAGAGACTTTGAGGGCTTTGACAATGAAGATTCTGCTGTTATCGATGATATTGTGTCTCTAGACAAAAAACATGGGCTTGTAAGTTAACAATGAAGATGTGGAGGAGTTACTAGAGGACCACAAAGATGAACTCAGCACAGAAGAACTGGAACAAGTACAGAAGCAGCTACAAAAGGCGATTGTGAACGAAATGTCTTCAGAGGGAGAGGAAGGAAGGGAGGATGTTCCTACTTCTTTGATCCGTGAAATTTGTGCAAAATGGGGTGAGGTGCAAAGTTTCGTGGAACGATATCACCCCGATAAAGCAGTAGCAAGCCGCAGCATAAACATTTTCAATGGTAATGCCATGTGTCATTTTAGAAACATTTTAAAACGTAGACAAAAACAAATCACGCTGGACAACTTTTTAGTGAGACAGAGGCCCAGTGAGTCTGATGCAGAGTCGAGTGGTGCCAAGAGACAGAAAAAAGAAAAAGAATCCCCTTCCAAACAATAACATTTCACTTCCTCACCACCTTCCACTTACGCCGTCAACTCTCCTCCATAACTAAATTAAGTTTTCGTCTATATTTGATCTGATTAGTGTTGTGTTCATCTTTTTTGTGATAGATTTAATGGTTTACATTTATTTTGTGTTAAAAACTTGTGCACAAAGTACTGATATAAAATTTTAAATAAGTAATCATCTGAGGTCCAGGAACCGATTAATCCATTTTACTCTAATTCCTATGGGAAAATAGTTTCGGTTTACGAACATTTCGGTTTACGAACGACCTTCAGAGCGAATTAAGTTCGTAAACCGAGGTTTGACTGTATTTTTTTCCCTGCCTGCTGTATAACTTGCTGTATGTAGTAAAAATCAAAATCTTATTACTCTAAACTCGTCTTTGAATGGTCAAGAATATTTGATTCCCCGTGTCGTTTCGAGAAACGATTATCTCGAGCGAGACTAGCCATAGCAAACATGTTCATGTGTGTCGAAAATTACTCTTTCGGAATCTGACCATGGACAAGGGGGCAGTTTCAGAAACGTTGGATTTCAAGAAATTACGACGATGGCTAACAAAAATCTTCTGTAGGAAATCAAAACCCCTGTCGTTCTCCTGTCCTGATCGATACACCGGCCTCTCCCATATCGACTATTACAACTGGTATAGTAACAAATGAATTTTCAATTTTGTTGACAGGTGCTGTCTCACGTCGCCTACATCTCGTGTTTTTGGGGATTAGGCACAGCCATTCTGCTGTCTGCGTACGTGTTCTTCATCCCCGGGAGGCCATACAGCGCACTTGAGGCAGCTTTGTACGGACCCTTACACCGCATCGGCTTCGCTCTAGCAGTGTCCTCCTCCTACATAATTGTCTCTTGTGGACAGATTGGTAACGACATTTCCACCCACTGCTCCTATTTCAGCAATAAGTCGAACTGCCCTCCCGTACCAAAAAAAAACAGATAATGATGAAATACAAATTGTTTGTTTGTCGTCAGTCTTTCGACTGGTTTGATGTGGTCCTCCATTTTCGCCTATCTTGCACCAATCTCTTCATTTCCACATCCTCAAAAATCCGCGTCACATATTCCAATCTCTGCCTCCCCCTACAATTCTTCCCTTCAACTGTTCCTTCCATTACCAAATTAACCAATCCTGGGTGCCTCAGAATGTGTCCCACCATCCTATCTCTTCTTCTCGTAAGATTTTTCCTTCGCCTATCCTGTCTAAAACCAGATCATTTCGTCCTTTATCAGTCCACTTAATTGTCAACATTTCAAATGCTTCGATCCTCCTTCATTCTGGCTTTCTCACTGACCATATTTCGCTTCCGTATAGCGCTGTGCTCCAAATATACAACTTCAGAAATTCTCGTATTCGATTACTTGTAAAATTTACAGAACATGTTTCATTATAAATTTTTTTGTTAAGGTTCATTTCAAACCTCTGTATATAATTCATCCTGTGTTCCAGAAATATACCAGAGGTTCTTCTCGTCGAAACCTTTCGTCGTGCTTAGCCGTCTGACATACGGAGCTTACTTGGCACACACAGTGGGTCAGCTGTACGACCAGGGGACGCTCAGAGTTCCGCGGTATCTCTCAGTTTACACGGGGGTAAGTAAATCAACACAACGACGTTCACTAGGTCACATTTCTTAAGCAGGTCATTCATAATTAAATTCCGCTGATATTTTCCTCCATAGATCATGCTTTGTTTACGCCTAAATGTATTTGTACCACAGAGACTATAAAATGTATTCCTGTATTAACTGAAACCTAGTCCTAGTCTTTCTATAGAAGCTTACAGTTGCTCAGCTTGTCAAATCATTCTCTGATAGTTCATTACCTCGTCCTAATCAGAACAACGCAGTTTATTCCCTTCTACAATATTGTTTAGGTTAATTTTAGTAGACTCTTACACTTTCATCAACAGGATATTTTCCTCCATAGATCATGCTTTGTTTACGCCTAAATGTATTTGTACCACAGAGACTATAAAATGTATTCCTGTATTAACTGAAACCTAGTCCTAGTCTTTCTATAGAAGCTTACAGTTGCTCAGCTTGTCAAATCATTCTCTGATAGTTCATTACCTCGTCCTAATCAGAACAACGCAGTTTATTCCCTTCTACAATATTGTTTAGGTTAATTTTAGTAGACTCTTACACTTTCATCAACAGGAAGGTTTTCGAATCGAGATATTTGTCTTCTCCAAATGCGTGCTACAGTTCAGCCCATCTCAACATTCTTGGTTAGAAAGTATAAATATAAAAATTATAATTACTACAGTTTGGTGCTGTCCGTTTGTTTCTAATGTTTTCGTTTTATTTTAATAACAACTATAATTTTCTTACATAAATACAAGATAATACAAATGTTTGCAATATAACTATAAATATATATTTTATTTCAGATTTGGTTATCGCTTGGTGACATCGTGATTGCGTTCGGACTTTCATTTTTTCTGCTATTACTTGTCGAAACACCTTTCAGATGCTTGCAAAAACTTATCATTAAGTGATATATTTGATACATAATTAAAGAGAATCTCTCTTTACGTCTAGGTGTAATAGATTGTTTTAAAGCATTTATGTGTTCTTATAGATCAAAATGTTAGCCTTAGTTAGACCATTTCAAAATTTTACACAGAAACTTAATTTCTTGCATTATAAAGAAATTATTTTTACATTACTGTTGTTACAAAATATATAATCGTGTCACTTCACTTTATATTCAAACAGATCTGTTATTTGTAATGAGTATTATATACAGAGTGTCCCGTAAATCCAACTACATAGGGAAACTATGTTACTTTAAAAAAACGCGAAAAGCAAAGATAAAAAGTTGCTGGAAATTTCGTGTTTCCAATCTCATCAGTTCGGAATTCTTAACTGGGACCAGCTAATATGGCTACGTTCTGTACAATACCATTAATAAAATGGTATAGCCACGTTGCCACATTAACGACTGCGAAATGGTGATGGGGTGTTTCCAAATCAGAGATAAGAGTCAGCGAATGAAACAGAAAACAGCTACAACACGAAATACGTAGTAATTAAAACCAGGAAAACAAAAATGCCTAGCGAAGGGACGTAACAACGTCGCTACATCGCCATGATGTTGCCACGTACTTATGGAGACACAAAATTTGCAACAAAATTTCAGCCTTTATATTTTTCGGAATTTTGACTAATAACAGAGATTTCCTATAGCAGTAGATTTATATGTCATTATATATATATATATATAAAATACATACTACGAATAAAATATTTTGTTACAACATAATCAGAATGAATAAAATATTCTCTCTGTTATAACAACAAGCAGTTTTAATTGGATTTATACCCGTGGTTTCTATTCTAGTGTTTGTAAATTCCTTAAAATATTATGCCATAAATTATATTGGCATACGTTTGCATTCAGAACAGACCAACAGTATGACACTATACAAAACCGATCATTTTTCCGAACAATCTTAGCATTTAATTAACAATCACTCTCTAGTTAAGTAATTATTGTGACGGACAAACAAAGCGAAAGATAGCTGATCCTACGTCAACAAATATTTATTTGGCAAACGGAATAATTAAATACAGAATGTTTCAAAAAGATATATACACGTTATTATATGGAACATTAACCTTGTTATAGGTCTCTGTGTGTTATGTTAAAGAGTGGAGCCTAGTACGGTCTACACCTAACAGATGGCACTCCAATATATTTTAACTAAGTGCCAATGCTGACGTATGTAATGGTTTAGTTTATTAAAATGTCTTTATTTCATTAATCGAGTATGTGTACACATATTATTGGGACAGACAATGTAGTAAATGTAACAACGCTGTTAAAATAAACAGTTGTAAACGAAATTGAATCCGACTGCAAATACACGGATCACACATAGAAATGTCAACTTTCAATAACTTGTGGATAGAATATCCGTCTCCAAGGATAAAGATGGAGGTGGTAAGTTCCTTGGAAACGTTGGTATCTACCTAAAAGTACACACGACGTTACTACCCAGCAGAACAATATCATCTGTTCCTGGAAAAGATGCCTTAAAAACCAATATATCGTAATGTAGAGATACCATGTGTTTTGATTGAAAATAATAAAAAATTAAATCGTTTATTCACGATTTTTATGTATGAGAATGTAATGTTAAATAAAATTAAACATCCCAAATACACTCCTACTTCCGACAAAACACGTAGGGATTTTTTACTGTTATCGAGAAGTGTAAAGGTTTCCGAAAACAAGACACATGGTGATATGTAATATCATAGAAGGTGATGATGTTAAGTTCTGTCATCAATGAATTAATCCATAGCCCACAAATCCATGATCAAGACATCTAAGTTTCTATAACAATCAATATACAAATTTTTCAGTTCAAAATCGATTAATTAATCGACTTTACACAATATTGCACACGTAAATTAATAATACAATACAAGTATGTTTATAATTTCAAATGTATCCTATAGTGTTATAAATTTCAAGATATATAAAGAATTTCACAAGAATTCTTTTTTCTTAGTTACAATTTCGATGTTGACAATCTTTTAAGTGTTAGGACGAACAGTCTGGTAGAAGACTAACTCTATTACTAAGTCCTGATTATGAAGGCAGAAATCAGCTTTGAAACGTCGGTGATTTCTACCACACTACACGGCGTAGTATTTCAGTTAGGTTAGGTTAGGTTAGGTTAGTATTCAATACCGTGAAAACATCAAATCTGAACTCGACAATTTACTTTGTAATATTTCTCTTTTTTACAATTTGAAGGTTTCTGTGTCACATTTTGGTAATTCTCGCATTGTTTTTTAGACATAATGCTATTGCACACTTAATAGACTACAGTATAGTGTAAACATAACTTTTATATGCACTGGGAAACCAAAATATTCGTGTGACTCGCTTTATTGCGACGGTCTGGAACCGAACCCGCAATATCTCCGAGGTATGCCTGTACATACATCCAAGAGCATTATCAAGTATAAGAAAACATGCTTAATTTACGTTTTAGAAATTTTGGTTTACGTCACACAGAAAAAGACTTACATTCACAAGTTTATGGGAAGACATCCGGTTACATTACAATGTCGACATTTAGAGGAGAGGTGGTATAGTGGCCACAATAGTTATGACCGGTGGAATATTCAAGGTCAAGCTTACGAAAGAGTCTTTTTTTGTGTGTTCTGTCTAACGACAGGTCCATATGAACAGGATCCTTACATCCTTTTCTCGGACTGGGACCTGTTCATATACGTTCTTGGCAGATGATCCAGAAGTGGTTTGCCATTGCCTTCTTCTGTGTGTGAATGGAGTAATTGTTGGGATGCCACAGAGAAACCGGGGAAGCCCCCGGAGGAAAACTCCGTGTTGCCTAGACCACGGCCTCGCCCAACACAAGTTATAAAGTCAGGCACCGCCGGGAATCGAACCCGAGACATCAGAATTACAAGGCCAGCGTTCTAACCGCTAAACCACCGTGGTTATAAGCTAATATTATGTAATTTAAAGTAATGCTCCCTCATTCGTGTGAAACGTTTCAGTGAATTAATTTGTCCTGCCCCTGCGTAATGCGGACACGAGACTCTGTTCCCGTGAGGTCTGACTAAAGCACCGTGGCCGCACGAGTGACTCGTACGATAGTGTAATGTTTCGTCTGTCTCTAAGGACAAATACACTGACCTTGACACACAGCTTCGTTATTTCACTTGCTCGTAGCTCCTACTCATTCTTCACCTCGGCACCAGATGGGTGTTTGGTCAACACCACGCCCCGACCGTGCTTTATCCCGGGTAAGGACCCCGATAACCTTTGCTTAGGAGGCTGGGTGGGCCCCAGAGCCAGTTGAACGCAGAGGCTGGAGGAAAAATCCTCTGCATTTGTTGGGGATCTAATCGTTTTAGCGTACAATATTCCATTTTATAGCAATAATATTTTAACTGTAAAAAAAAATCAATCGACTATAAGTTTTATTTAATTAACTTGTAATACTACACTCAAAGTATTTCTAGATACTGTAAATGCTGTCAAGCATTGCTGATGCAAATCAAAACAGTTCACTTGTTGAAAAACGCACAAGACCACATATGAGGTTCTCAGGTCGGCAAATAAGAAGAATTTTGTCTCCTGGGATCTTCCGTAGTGTTGACTGACGTTTCAGAAGTACAGTCCACGACTATAATCTTAAGACTTGCAAGGAATGCAGGAAGTCCGTAGCGTTAAAGGCAGAATTCCTCACTTCGCGAGTCACAAGATTACAGTCGCGGACTGTACTTACTACTCCGTCATTAGAGTGTCCCCATGATGGAGATAAACTCTCTGAAACTTCAATAAAATTCCACCAGACTATACAGCCAAATATCCCATAAAAAGTCATTTAAATACAGTATGTAACCGACCTCCACTCAGACACCTAGCTTAGACGGGGGTCGGTTGTTGAAGTTGTCCCTGGACTCAGGGATTGTACAGAGGCGTGGTAGTAGGTCGGGGTTGCCTAGGTATGCGCCTGCCAGATATACTATCACCATAACCTTCTGATGAAGATTTATTATTGCATACACAATTATCTAATTAACAAATTAAATACTTCACTCTGCAACAAGACGACTCGACTGTTAATAGGGAAGCCCAGGGCAGAACGAGGTATCGAATTTATTTCGTCTGCGATCTATCGGGACCGGATGAAATACCATTAGTATACAGCACAGGAACATGTCAGTCAGCGCTATTTTGTGGTTAGAATTTCTGAAATAATCACCCTTACTGAATTTTGCTCTTACATTTTACAGTTTTTTTCCAACTTCCAGTGAAGGTAAAACCTATTCATTATTCATATCCATTTTGTTGAATGACGCATGTTACAAGGTGTTTCCTTGAAAGTCTTAAAAGACAATGTTTTCATTACTTTTATGATGTCATTTTTGGTGGGACAATCCTAATTTTAAAGAGTACACTCGGGGCAGGATGGCGTACTCCGTTTTGCCCCGAGTGAAAGTAGAGAAGTCTATTGAAGGGTGGATCCTGTATTTGTCTTGCTTGAAATGAGCCCATAAATCATGTGCAGGTGTTGATGGTCATCATGATGAAGAGGTGCACATTAGGGTTTATACAAAAACAGACTTTTGAAGAAAAAAAAGATTTTAGAATTCCAGTATTTCAAAAAAAAACCGGTTTTTGAATTTTTTACAAAAAGAAAAAAATAATTAAAACAGTAAAAGAAATATTTATATTATCTTAAAAATTTTCATTTTATTTAATATTTATGGAACTACAAAATTATAACAAAATAAAATATACTCCATACAAAACCAAATATAAAAAACTAAAATAACTTGCACGTGTATACCGTCTGTGTTAGGCCTCAGTAGATTTCAAATGTGTAAAGTTTCGACATTTTACATTTTTACGTCATAATTATTAGCTAACCTGTGTCTGCTTACAACTTTTTCAAATATATATCAATCATAATCCGTCTTTCCCCGGGCACGGGGCAAAATGGGGCACGATACATTTTTGTAAAGAAATTTTTTTTTTAAAAAAATCTGTAACCCTTACAACTAAACTAATAACTCGTTTTAAATCTCAAATAGACAATAAATCCACACGAGGTTCCTCCATGTGTTTGTCCCTTCCACATGTCTCCAAAGATTAAGTTCCCCGTTCTGCCCTGATCTCTCCTCTATGTTCTGTACCGCTTCTGTACGTCTATTCGCTCTGAATAAAGCGATCCAAGTGCTTCATTGCCCAAAGCGTAGCACGAGAGCTATTTTATCCGTATTTCCAGAATTCTGAATTTAAATAAGGCGATCCGATGTCACCCCCTGTGATGTTGGGGTCGCGCGGAGAGCCAAATTCCAATCCCACTGATCTGAGCCCCATCTTCTGGGAGTACAAAACATTTCTGTAGAGTGGAGTGGAGTGTAGTAATTCCAACGACAGCCACTAGGAGCATAACTGTTGGCATGACAGTAAAATGGCGTCTCAGTTCGAAAAAGCATCGTGTGCTTGAGTTCCATTTCACCAAATCTGTAACCACTGTTCAACGGGGGGTATGAAGGAATTTCCATAAAATCCTCAACGTGTGAATTCAATTTAAGTTCCCAGTGTCTGAGCTATCAAGATCCACGCCCCAGACCGCGTGTCCAATGCGACCGTCTATGTATTACTTAATCAATAGAATTAAAATTTATCCTGTCTCTTACCGTAATAAATTTAAAAATAAATAGCCTACAGACAGCAGAATACATACTTCAGGCAAATAATCATAATTATTTTAAGGTACTCAAAACAATAACCCATAAAAATTATCCATCTTTAAAAATTAACGAAATTAAACTAAATTCATAACAAAACTTTTGAAAGAACGTAATATAAAATAGTTTTTTTCAATATATACATGTATATATATATATATATTTAAAAATTACAAACCTTGAATTTTGAAGGCTACAATGCAAGTATACGTATAAAAACGGTGTTGCTCGTAGAAAACACGTTTACTCGACTTCAGACGGTGGAGACATCAACTTCGTTCACTTTGAAGGTAAGCAAGTTGTCATATCGATAAAAAAAATACCTAAATATATGAAAGTAATCGTCCCGTTTTCATATGTTTCTATACTAACGCAATATCATATAGATATTCCGTAAACATAAAAATAATTTTAAAGTGTTAGGTATATATTATATTTATAAACATTCCTCATATTAATATCATTCCATTAGTTCCCCGTTATTCTTAGACGTAATCTAAAGTATATATTGTACCAAAACGAAGTATACACATTTTAATATAGAATATTAATTATGTTCACATACGAAAAATAACGGGAAATAACGGGTGATCAATTGAGTTTCGAGAAACTGGAATTCACTTAATGTAAATATACGTTTCTTTCTTCATGAAACTGTGTTGTCTACACCCAATAACGACAAAGGTGGGAACACAACATGGCGTCACCACCACTAGCAATATATTCCGTTCTATTAACTTGAATCGTGAAGAATTTCTTACACAACTCTATGATTGTTACTACATGATTGTTGTATTATACTATTTGATTACAACCACGGTGGTCTAGCGGTTAGAACGCTGGCCTTGTAATCCTGGGATCTCGGGTTCGATTCCCGGCGGTGCCCGAATTTATAACTTGTGTTGGGCAAGGCCGTGGTCTAGGCAACACGGAGTTTTCCTCCGTGGCATCCCAACAATTACACCATTCACACACAGAAGAAGGCAATGCCAAACCACTTCTGGATCATCTGCCAAGAACGCATATGAACAGGTCCCAGTCCGAGAAAAGGATCGAAGGATCCTGTTCATATGGACCTGTCATCAGACAGAACACTAAATAAAAAATAAGAAGGCAATGGCAAACCACTTCTGGATCATCTGCCAAGAGCGTATATGAACAGGTCCCAGTCCGAGAAAAGGATGGAAGGATCCTGTTCATATGGACCTGTCGTCAGACAGAACACTACAAAAAAACTTTGATTCAAAGCCAAAGTACAATACTAAATAAGGTTGTTGAAACACTTATTTTGATCAGAAAATGTAAATAAATTTTTATTTCAAATTATCAATCCTTTAGAAATCATAACGTTAGTGTCACTTTGCACTATTGTCATCGTTTGGAAAAGGCTTGGTGGAACTACATTTAGTGGCGCAGTTATCAGACTCGGAAAGCGGTAACAATAACAAGTGTGCCAAGGTCCTACCATACTAATAACAACAGAGTAGGTACCTGAAGACGGAGATAGAGCCATATCTCCGAAATGTCGTTTTCTATTTTATTTTAATACTAGACGATGGAAAGTATCCAAGAAAACTTTTATTTAATAACTGATCATCATCACGAACTTTTAGATTTGAAATCAGAATTTAGATTAACTTCTAAAGAGTTTAAATAATTTTCGAATACGTTAATGGCACAATCCAGGGGCAAAGTAATGATTCCCTATAAGTAGACTGTGGTTGTATCTTACAGGAATTTCAATCCACGGACTCTCTTCAATAGTTTCCAGATAATACCTTCGTTTAACGTCGGAAAATGACTTTGAAAATAAAGCCAGCACTTCCGCGTTTTTTGTTGGAGCTTCAATAATCTCTATCAGCACGAAACACGTAATAAGATTCCGGAAAAATATTATTGCTTAATTTAGAGTCATTAAGCCAGGTTTCTGTAATACAGTAAATTCTGAACATTCTAGTGAAAACATTTTCCATGAAGTCACTGCATTTGGTTTTTAGACCACTGAAATTTTGAAAAAATATATCAAAATCAGAGTTGCCAAGTACAGTCATCAGTTGGAGTCTGAGCTAAGTCCTCAGGATTGAGTCTACCATAAAAAGAGCATTAAGGTACACGTTTGGCCACACACCAGTGTTATTAATGAGTGGAAACGCATCTACATTGACCGAAACGTGAAAAGAGAAATAAGCGCTAAATTTTGTTTTAAGAATAGTGCACACAAAATTTTCAAGGCGAAATTGCTCCTTTAATGAATTTTCAACATACAAAGTCGTGACTTCAGGACTAAACCGAGAAACATACAGGACCATTGGCCTCTCGTTCTTACAAAATACTTGTATAATAAATTTATTTCCTCTCATTACGTTCAAATATTCTTATTCCAATTTATTTTGTTTCCGTATATTTAAAAAAAATCGGAATATATTTACTTCAAAATATTGTTCTCTTTCTGTTAAATATTATAGTTCACATTTAGTCCTTGTAGACCCTAATGGCCAACAGCTTTATGATCACTGATTCTTACGTCATGAAATGTATTTGTCTCTCTTTCTACCAATTTATTTTACTCTCAATGTTATTTTATCTTACACAATTCGTATTAAGTTCCTGTTTTGGAAACATTTATTTTAGCAATTTATATGTAATTATCTTGATCACTTTCGAATAAAATATCGATACAGCCGTTTCCTAACTTTAACGAAATTTCAAGGTCAGTCTTTTGTCATAAAGGTACAGTAATCCTAAATTATTCCTCAGATTCTAATTTTTATGTTCCGAAAATTCAATATAAATTTCTTTCGTAAGTCTTTTAAAGAAACATTTTACACACTTCACGAGTAGAGTTTAGTTGTACCCTGGTTTTGTAGAACGGGTGATGCAGAACGTCTGGCAGTGCATTTGTCTTGTTATCGTCTGGATTCTTCGCCTGTATGGTTTTGTCAGTGAAGCTGATATTCCCGATAGATACCTAAACTTGGTATGTTCAAACTACGATAAATATAAGACTATTCTTGCTTCAGAACTGAATCTCAAATTTGTTTGTGCGTAAAACAACGACAAATATACAAGATATCTCTTCATATTTGTAGGATAAAATTTATAAAACAGACGCCAAGTAATATATGTGAATGTGTACATACAATATAATACCACTTCAGAGAGATCGTAATACTTTATAGCCAAATTGTTATTTTATTTATTTAATATTAAATATTTATATTTAAAATACTTACAAGGACAAGTTGCTTTAAGTAAACCTCCCAGAACGGATAAAATGCCCAATATTTGTAGTGAAAATGAATGAATGTGTATTTAAAAACTTCGTAAGATTTAATATAGAATAGTTATTGCTTAATAGCCAAGATATAAAAACATTTAAAATATGTTTAATTCGTATACAGCTGAGAAATTTGCTCGAATTGTCACGAAATAAGGAAAGACATTTTGGTTCGCTGATATAAAGTGGGCAGAGTTAATTAATTTTTGAATATAAACTATTCGACTGCAGTTTATTAAAATTTATTAAAAGTTATGTAAATTTAAAAACAAATATTTGCCATTATTTAGAAACTTTATAACAAATTTTGTTTCTTAAAAATAAATATGTCCATCAATATCGCACAGACGTGGTCTGTGATATGGCATCAATTTCTTCATAAATTTGTTCCCTATCAAAACTGCGAAGTTTTCCGGATATGTTGATAAGATTTAAAATTCTAAGAGACACAATATATTTTGGTATTCGGGGTTATTTATTTTCGTGGCTAAAGATTAAATTCCTTTCTTAAATCGTTAATCACCGATAGAAAATATAACTTTCCCCGTATATTTTATTAAACTATCCTATCCACTTTAATAATATATTTGTTTTGTGTACTCTATTACCTCCTCAGGTTACTTACCGGGTGATAAAGGATATGACATATGGTTAGGAAACGCAAGAGGAAATATATATTCTAAGAAACACACCACTCTCTCAACGAAGACTTCCAAATTTTGGGATTTCAGGTAAGTCACAGAGTGCGATGGCACTCTACGTCCACAAACCCTTATTAACACTACAGTAATTAACACTTCTTCGTATTCAAAAATTTCACATTTTAAATCTCCAGTCACATTTTTGAAATTTATTTTTACGCAAAAATAATCTTCCGGAACCATATTAGTGTAATACTGGCAAAGTTGTAATAATGACATCGGATTGTTTTAGTGTAACAGAAATTTAGGTGTACTCAAAAGAGTGGTATCACATATTTCTGAACGTAAAAACAATTATGATTCTGGAGAGATTTGAAAAGAGAAAATTAATATTACTATTCCATTATATCAATGGATGTTTTCTACAAAACTACATGTCTCGTCATAAAAATGATGAACTCCGTCTTTATAATTAAGAATTATTTCTCACTTTATAATTTATAATATTTTCTTAAAAGAGCTACAAATTAAGAAGCCATAACTAATTTTATTTTTCATACAGAATTTTGTGCTGATATACAGGGTGAGTCAGAAGTATGTTTAAAAACTTTGTGTGCGTGTTCAAGGATCAAAAATAAAAAAAAAATGTTCCTATGAACATGGGGTCGCAAATGTTTCATTTTCGAAATTGCCAAAAATAAGTTTCAATGAATTTACTTTATATCAAAGAGAATCCAGCTTCCAGCAAAGATTGGGCAGGAATTGTTGGCGACATGCTTATTGGTCCACAAATTCAATATAAATTTATTTCGTAAGTCTTTTAAAGAAACATTTTTCACACTTCACGAGTAGAGTTAATTTGTACCCTGGTTTTGTAGGACGGGTGATGCAGATCGTCTGGCAGTGTCTTTGTCTAGTCGTCGTCTGGATTCTTCGCCTCTCTGGTTTTGTCAGTGAAGCTGCTATTCCTCATCGATACCTTAACACGGTATGGTAAAACTACGATAAATATACATGATATCTCTTCATATTTGTAGGATGAATTTATAAAACAGATGCCAAGTAATATATGTGAATGTGTACATATAATATAATAGCACTTCAGAGAGATCGCAATACTTTTAACCTGAATTTCAATATTATTTATTAAATATTTGTACGGACTGAACAAGTTTTGAAAATTGTGTATTATTGTTGAGTGTAAAGAACCACGTCTGTGCAAATGAGATTTGATTTTTGTACCCAAAACGTTTAATCTTTCATTAATTAACATTTCACGTTGTAATAATTTGCATTCCTTGAATAGTTTGTAATTAGAAGGAGAATGTATTATTCCTTCGAAATTTTGGAAATTGCCAGAGACTGATAACAAGTGTCCAGTTGGAAATTATTTTTGATTCCGTATTTCCTCTATTTTAAGATGTACTATGTTCACATTTTAAAATGTCTTAAATCGGGGTGCGTATTACATTCCATGGCGTCTTTTCCTCTCTAAAACGAATTACTTAATCTTACAATCAATGACGTCTTAAAAATCGAAGAAATGTTGCAAATACACCAAAATAAGAATGTTTTAATCACATTGCATAATTGAATTAATTATACTTTCTTCTATCACATATAAATCGCATTCATACCTGCTGCAAATTGCAACATTTTGCTGAGAAGTATAAAAGTCACCAAATGAGAGTCGAATATTGAACTGACTGCACCTGAAGTCATGTTTGATAACAGTGATAAATTCTAATTAATTAATATTTTAATGCATTCTTACCAAAGTATCCTAAAATCCATCCATGCACCATATTTCTCATGTAATATTCAAGCACGCTTAAAAAGTCAGTTTATCCAATATTTCTGTCAAAGAAATATTCACGCTCTTATATAAAGTTGTGTTAAAAAATACATGGCCCAATTTAAAACTTAAATATCTAAACAATCATTTGTTAATTTTTCCAATATCTAATTTAATTAAAATCTATTTATCCTTTCTCGAGTTCATTTATACCCGCTCTACGTAACATCATCAACTACGCACGAACTCAATTTGCTTCTCGAACCACCGACAGACAGAGCTGGAAGACCTGAAAACTTTACACTACAAAGTACAGAATATTATTTTCCCCCAGATTATCAGATTGAAAACGCTAAAATATTCATTAATAAAATTCTATCCTAGATATTTTCAATATGAACATTTTATGTGTTAACCAAAGCATCAGCTGATCGTCAAATATGGCTACCCGGCGGAGACTCACACAGTGACAACTGAAGACGGCTACATCCTCACGATGCATCGCATTCCTTACAGCCCAAAATCCAACAGTACGGACACCAAGAGACCTGTCGTGTTCCTGCAACATGGCCTCACAGGTTCTTCAGCTGACTGGGTCATCCTTGGACCAAATAAATCCGTGTGTGAGTTCGAATGTCATTTAAACAAACAATTTAACCTTTACATTCAGGAGGAAGACTGTAACATCTTAAAACGTCACAGAATGTACCTAGATTGTCAAGGGACTGTAATTGAAATTAATTTTGAACGACTCTCAAAGCACTTGATTTATATTTAAAGTGTATATAGCTACAAGCAAATGTCAAATCCTTGTGGCGGAAATGAATGTGTATTTAAAAACTTCGTAAGATTTAATATAGAATAGTTATGGTTTAATAGCCAAGATATAAAAACATTTAAAATATGTATAATTCGTATACAGCTGAGAAATTTGCTCGAATTGTCATGAAATATGGAAAGATATTCTGGTTCGCTGATACAAATAATTTTTGAATATAAACTATTCGATTACAGTTTATTCAAATTTATTAAAAGTTATGTAAATTTAAAGACACGTATTTGCCATTATTTAGAAACTTTATAACAAATTTATTTCTTAAAAATAAATATGATATATAAATATCTGTGATATGGCATTAATTTCTTCATAAATTTGTACCCTATCAAAACTGCGAAGTTCTCCGGGTATGTTGATAAGGTAAGAATTAGAATTATTCTAAAATGTTTGATTTAAAATTCTAACAGACACAGTATATTTTGGTATTCGGGGTTATTTATTTTCGTGGCTAAAGATTTAATTCTTTTCTTAAATCGTGAATTCCCGATAGAAAATATAACTTTCCCCGTATATTTTATTAAACTATCCTATCCACTTTAATAATATATTTGTTTTATGTAATCTATTACCTACTCAGGTTACATGCTGGCTGATAAAGGATATGACATATGGTTAGGAAACTCAAGAGGAAATAAATATTCTAAGAAACACACCACTCTCTCTACGAAGAGTTCCAAATTTTGGGATTTCAGGTAAGTCATAGAGTGCGATGGCACTTTACGTCCAGAAACCCTTAATAACACTACAGTAATTAACACTCCTCTCGTATTCAAAAATTTCACATTTTAAATCTCCAGTCACATTTTTGAAATTTATTTTTACGCAAAAATAATCTCCCGGAACCATATTAGTGTAATACTGGCAAAGTTGTAATAATGACATCGGATTGTTTTAGTGTAACAGGAATGTAGGTGTACTCAAAAGAGTAGGACCACATATTTCTGAACGTAAAAACAATTATGATTCTGGAGAGATTTGAAAAGAGAAAATTAATATTACTATTCCATTATATCAATGGATGTTTTCTACAAAACTACATGTCTCGTCATAAAAATGATGAACTCCGTCTTTATAATTAAGAATTATTTCTCACTTTATAATTTATAATATTTTCTTAAAAGAGCTACAAATTAAGAAGCCATAACTAATTTTATTTTTCATACAGAATTTTGTGCTGATACATAATTTATTGTGAGGACAGACAACATTTACTGTTTTGCATCTTTAAAAGTTACTGTGTCAGAATTTGTTGATAAAAGAAGAATAACACGTCTATGAACATGAAAATACAGGGTGTCCAAGAAAGATATATGCATACACAGCAGCTCCTCTGGTATCTCTTGTCAGTCAACTGAACATCGCTCTAATCTGTGCCATGAAGCTAACGGTGGTCATTTTGAAAACTTACACTAGATTCCCTGATCCACTAAGTACTGTTCTGACGTGTGTAATGGTTTAATTTATTATAATTTCTTCATTTAATTCGCTGAATGTGTGTATACATATGTTTCAGACATTGTACAGTACAAGACAGATTCAATAATTTCCTAAAGTCTAATGAACTTATATTTTCGTGTTTTTTGATAGAAATTCAGGAATGTGTTCATGTAACTTTATCAAAATTATAAAAATAATGAAAATCTGAAGTATTTTGGAATATCATCCAACAAATAAATTACGGGGATAACGTACGAGGAAAAGATGCAAAATTGCATTTCAAGGGTAGAAATATTGAATCTCAAAGAAATCCCGTGGGACGATGTAGACAGGATATGACTCAAAACAGGCACGAGTGGCGATATATTGTGGACACGGCTTTCATAGAAAATGGTGGGGGGTGGGTTTATTTTGACTAGGTCAACAAATATCAGCTTCTTTATTATTATTCTGCTCTATGGAGTTATTAAAAATACAGAATTATGATATAACAAAGTTAACAACACATTAAATTGTAGTAATTCTCGCTATAATTCAGTTGAAATTTTTCGATATGATAAACATCGAAAAATCTAAATATTAAAATATTTACTTGTAGTGTCGATATGATACTCGGTCTTTCATTCGACCCGGGAGGGGGGGGGGCGAATGTTGACTATGGTAACTACGTAGAGTGAAGAATATTCAGGCCTGTGACACAGAAAGTACGTTCAAGATCCAAAAAATTACTTAATGAATAGTTTCATAATATACAATTCTTACAAAAAATTATTAGATAATTCAAATTCAAAGTGATATTATATTCATATGGTGATTTTTCCCTGTGTAGTGACCAGACATGAACATATATTCAGTTTCCTCTGCGTTTAAGCTTAGACCGACCTCCTTACTAGCATGTAACGGAGTTTCTGTATTTCTTAAGAGTCTATCAGCATTCAGGACTCAAAATAAATTTTAAGTGTTCGGCGGGAAGTCTAACAGCAGGCTCTTTGACCACAACATATACAAAATTTAACAAAGCTTTCACTCATGGCTCCAATACATAAGAAATAAACCTTACGCATCCATAACAAAACAAGGCAGGTAGTCAACACACCTTATTGTAGATAAGATGCATCATAAAAATATGTTTATTTTCGCGAGATTAAAGATATTATTAAAAACATTTTATAATACATATACGTAGGATAATTCATGTATAATTATTTGACATGATGATGACAAAATACAGTCGAAACGTGGCTAAATATGGACATTTCACATTAGTGCAAAAGTTTATAAAAAGTGAAGATGTTTCAAATACGATAAATATTAACAAATTTTATATTTTCTTCTAATTTTATTCCACAGCTGGCATGAAATGGGCATATACGACCTTCCATCTATGATCGACTACGTATTAAATCGGACGAGTCATCACAATCTGCATTATATTGGCATATCCATGGGTACCACAATGTTCTTCGTCTGCACATCGATGAAACCGGAATACAACAGAAAAATTCACCTCATGATTGCCTTGGCTCCTACTGCGTTTATGGCCAATTCAAAAACTCCACTTCATAAGCTTAACTTGATGAACAAGGTATGAGAGTGTACTGAGGTCTTTAAGGCCGTGGTTCGGGCTACCGACGTTTTAGACTTGAAAATATAAACGTTATGTTCCTTCGTAACCGGTTACACAATTACACGTTATCACAGTCCAGAATACTGTCATCCACATTTGCATAACCTTAAAAGTCCCAAAGATTATACGGCACGCGAGATTATTCAAGCCGTTTACAGTGACTTGACCTAAATAATAAAATAAATAAATAAAAATATACCCAACCAAATAAAACACAGTTATAGTGATTCAAACAAGAAAGCGGTTCTTAAAGTGTCATTCTCAGAACAGATTCGTATTCAACTGCACCCTCCAGGAACAGATCCCCTTAATTTCGCACAAAAGCATAAATTCTTTTAGTGTTTAGAGATATTGCATATCTATTATTTCATAAATACAATGTTAAAGTACATCGTAAAATAATTTCGACTAAATTCATCTGACATATCAGGACACAGTAACTTTTGCTGTAAACAAAGTAACGATACTTCGGACTCCAGGGGGCACTTCTTGAACAAAAGCGACTATCAGCTTCTCAAGAGACCCTATAGACCAGTGGTATTCAACCTGGGGTACGCGTACCCCCGGGGGTACGCGAAGACATCTTAGGGGATACGTGAAATTTAAAAAATATATTATTTTATGATAAACACTGAATAATCGGTAATGTAATTTATTTAATTTATTTTAGATGTAGATTATATACTATGTATAACTTGAATTAAACACCAACAACTTTGGGGGTACAAAGTTGAAGAGAAATTATATCTGGGGGTACGCGAAGACATCTTAGGGGGTACGTGAAATTTAAAAAAATACATATATTATTTTATGATAAACACTGAATCATCAGTAATGTAATTTATTTAATTTATTTTAGATGTAGATTATATACTATATATAACTTGAATTATACACCAACAACTTTGGGGGTACAAAGTTAAAGAGAAATTATATCTGGGGGTACGCGAAGACATCTTAGGGGGTACGTGAAATTTAAAAAAATACATATATTATTTTATGATAAACACTGAATCATCAGTAATGTAATTTATTTAATTTATTTTGGATGTAGATTATATACTATGTATAACTTGAATTATACACTAATAACTTTGGGGGTACAAAGTTGAAGAGAAATTATATCTGGGGGTACGCGAACAAAAAAGGTTGAATACCACTGACATAGACGACTGACCAAGAGACTGGACACTTATCAGTTCTTACGTTTATTTCAATATGGGAATTTATGTTTTTATAGGTATAATTTATATTAGTATACTTATCGAAACAACAACAATTCTAAAGTATGTAATTTTTTAAGTAGTATTATTGTTTGTCTAGCGTTATATTCGAACACGGAACTTTTAAATCAGATACACTACAAACATTACAGTAATAATGTTAAGGAAGTTTATGTTTTTGGCCTCAGAAAGAGCCTACGTTAATGAAATAAAATTTTAATAGCTTGTAAAAACGCATTATTTTTTGGAACTTTAAACGTTTGTGTTCTTATTATGACATATAATTAGAAACATGTTTTTGCATAGTTTACTAAAAAAATATATAATTCGTTGCTCATAAAATATTTACACTTTAATTGTTGATCCGTCTTGTATATCTACTACTTTCAGACAACCTTGCGATTTCTGAGTTCACTGAAAATAAATGCAGTAAGAAGATCAAAGTTTATGGATTTCATAGCAGAAAAAGTATGCACAGACGAAAAAGCCAGAATAATTTGCAGTTATATTATTTTCGAGCTGTTCGGATACGATTACAAACAATTAAACGAGGTAAGCTACAGTAGTCGCCATTGAATTCGAATGCCTCAAGGCCACGGCTGAACTCCGCCCCTTAACCCGCGACTCACACGAGGTGCGATCGGAAAGGTTCCAGACTGCGCCTATAAAAAAAACAAAAACAAAAAAACCCCGTACACTTATCTCAGGTATTAAATTCATCCATCACCCTCGAAGTAGTGCCCCTGGGAGTGAACACAACGATCCCAGCGCCGCTGCCAAGCCTGGAAGCATCCCTGGAAATCTTTCTTTGTCAGCCTGTCAAGCACCAGCTGCGATTCTACCTGAATCTCTTCTATCGTCTCAAATCTCCTTCCCTTTAGCTGAATTTTCATCTTTGGGCAGAGGAAGAAGTCACACGGAGCTTAGAAAGGAAGTTGGGGTCGGTTCTTGCAAGATCTTTGAGCTCCTGACAAACGAGAAGTCGATTCTGCTTCTGGTCCTCAGACAGAAGCCGTGGCGTCGCATGTGGAGTTCTTCCTTTAGAATCAGCTGACAGGTCCCATAGCCTCTCCCAACAATGTCGCACAAGTCGTTGATGGTACGACGTCGATCTTCGTGAATGGCCTGCCGAATCTTCGTAACATGTTCGGGCGTTGTGCTCGAAGATGGTCGTCCAGAACGCTCGTCATCATCGACAGAGGTTCGGCCATTTTTAAAACGTGAATGCCACACAAAAGTTTGCGGACTCCCCAAATGCTTGCTTTAGCATTTCATAGGTTTCCGTAGCCGGTTTGGCGAGTCTTTGGCAAAATTTGATGCACACGCCATTCCGAAATCGCAGGAGGGTCGGTGTAATGCACTACCAAAACGCCCGTAACTAAGAAACAAATGCTAATTCGATGATGCCGGCTGGCACACTGATTCACTATGAATGTAGGCCGCACCCCCTAGCGGCAGAAGCTCGTACTACATCCGGTTCGCCCTCTATTGACACAGTCTTGAAACTTTCCGATCGCACCTCGTAGTTGTCAGTACAGTGTTGCCAGCGCTACTACATGTGAGCTGGTATTACTCGCCTGCGTTCAGCTGTTCGTGTGCAACGGTGTACGATGTTGATGTGACCTCGAAGCATGCAGTTTTGGTAACGGGTACATTTGTAATCCTGCCTAACTCCAGACCAATACATCTATCTCAAATTCTACGTGATATTTATACAAGAATTCCAAAATTTCTACTCGGGATATGAAACTAAAATATCATAACACATAACAGCTGCTGCTTCTGGGTCCAGACCGGCTCTGGAGCCCACCCAGCGTCGTATCCAATGGGTACCGGGGTCATTTTCTGTTATATAAATTAGCTTTACTCCCATTTTCACATAATTGGTTTTCATTACTTTGGAAAACTCTTTAAATTTCATTCTAAGGTTGAATCAACAGAAAGCAGTCCCATGCGCGTAGGGGCTTGAAGGGGAGGGGAGATACTCGAGACTCTCCCCACTCTCGGCCTACTTCTGTATTCCCCTCAGGCCCCCACTGACCTAAGCAAGGCCGAACGTCTTGTGGCTTCCGAAGGTTGTCACCTTCGCATTCTTGCGAGACGAATAGACACGTGCAGGGGTTATTAACCTTTTTTCGCTGGCGTACCACAAATTTTAATTTAACGCATTAAATGTACCACTAACCAAATTCGTTCAGGGAAAACCTATTTATGTTAATATTAACTTTGATTTTCTTACGTAGTTCGCGAACCATAGCTTGGACTAGTGGACTGACACACAACAGTCAGGCCTCGTTAGCGGAACGGCGTATCGCGAACTATAATACGCATCTGTCCCAGTTACCAAATCGAGCGTAATTTGACTGCTGTTTTTATAACTGATTGTCGCCCTGATAATTTTCAGTCAGTAACAAAAATGTTTTCATGTTTTGTAATTAACAAAACGTAAAATTATCATGTTTCGTAACTTTCGTTCCTTAACTCAATTTTTCTTATAAGGTCTGAATTTTGCGTATCGCGTAACATTCACAAACTTTGACGATTTGCTGGACAGCGGATCTGGAAGGAGCGTCTGTCCAAGGTTAAATTTCATAATAACAAATACATGGATGTAAAATGATAATTAATTTGGTTAACCTCGAAATATGGAAATTTCTGTAATATTCATATAATTTCTACTTTCTTTCAGTCCCTGCTACCTGTTATGTTTTCTCTTATACCGGCTGGAGCCTCCTGGAAATCTTTCGTGCACTATTTCCAAGAAATGATTACAGGTAAATTTTCTGTACAGATAATATTCTTCCTTAAAAAGCTTTTTCCAAACAACTTTCATTAACTGCTTCTATTTCGGTCACAAAAAAGCAGATATTTCTTATCGAATCTGTTGTTATTTACCACTAAAGTAAACATTTTTATATCGTATTGATCTCAATATGGAACTCTTTCCTGTAACTTAGTACATTTAAAGAAAGCGTTAATTATTTACAAATTCAAGAACCAAATTCTTTCCTTGAGACTTTACAGGTATTAATATTGTTAATTTATTTTCGCTAATCTGTTTATAACTTAAAATATCACACTGTATAGATCTCTTAAACTGTTTTCAATAAATATGAAAACAATTTAATATTTATAAAATAAAACTTTTAAATCGCGCCGAGGCCTGAAAGCAAGATTCCTGGCATGTAAACAAATCCCTTTTAGTACTAGTATAATAATTCATATATTATTCATATTATATTCGTAAACGTGCAAATTACAAAATCCTATAAAAACTGTTGTCGAAAGAATTATAAACTCAGATGCATGTCTTCAGGATTATACTGAAAAACATTTCAGAACAGTTTATTTCCTCTACCATTACCGTGTTTACAACAGACCACCACTGGTACCTATCCTAAGTCAGATGTATCCAGTCCACATCACCCGATCCTATCTATCTGAGACCATTTTAATATTATCCCCCAACCTACGTTTAGGTCTTCCAAATGATATATTTCCTTCTGATTTGCCCACCAAAACCCTGTATGAATTCCTCTTTTATCTCCAATGCGAGCTACATGCCCTGTCCATCTCACCGTCCTTGACTGCACGTCTAATTGATTTGGTTCGTCGTTATGCAACTTTCTCCAGCCTCCAAGAAATTAATCCCTCTTAGGTCCAAATATTCCTCCTCAGCAACCTGTTCTCAAACACAATCAGTGGTATTCGACCTGGGGTACGCGTACCCCCGAGGGTACGCGAAGACATCTTAGGGGGTACGTGAAATTTAAAAATATATATTATTTTATGATAAACACTCAATAATCAGTAATGTAATTTATTTAATTTATTTTAGATGTAGATTATATACTACGTATAACTTGAATTATACACCAACAACTTTGGGGGTACAAAGTTGAAGAGAAATTATATCTGGGGGTACGCGAAGACATCTTAGGGGGTACGTGAAATTTAAAAATATATATTATTTTATGATAAACACTCAATAATCAGTAATGTAATTTATTTAATTTATTTTAGATGTAGATTATATACTACGTATAACTTGAATTATACACCAACAACTTTGGGGGTACAAAGTTGAAGAGAAATTATATCTGGGGGTACGCGAAGACATCTTAGGGGGTACGTGAAATTTAAAAATATATATTATTTTATGATAAACACTCAATAATCAGTAATGTAATTTATTTAATTTATTTTAGATGTAGATTATATACTACGTATAACTTGAATTATACACCAACAACTTTGGGGGTACAAAGTTGAAGAGAAATTATATCTGGGGGTACGCGAAGACATCTTAGGGGGTACGTGAAATTTAAAAATATATATTATTTTATGATAAACACTCAATAATCAGTAATGTAATTTATTTAATTTATTTTAGATGTAGATTATATACTACGTATAACTTGAATTATACACCAACAACTTTGGGGGTACAAAGTTGAAGAGAAATTATATCTGGGGGTACGCGAACAAATAAGGTTGAATACCTCTGCTGTAGAACATTGCAAAGTTCTATTATTTCCAAAGATATTTTGTACGTGAAAGGATTAATATGTAGTAGTTTGTGCTGAGTTTTAAATATAACGCTAAGTTCTTGTTACGTTCCTTACAGATTCAGGAAAATTTCTACAATATGACTATGAGAATTTGAACATGGCAAAATACCGACAACCGACGCCTCCTGAGTATAATCTACAAGCGGTCACTGCTCCAGTAGCTTTGTTTTACGGCAGTAACGATCCGTTTGCAGACCCAACTGTACGTATTTTGTTTAAAAATAAACATAACAATTAAACATAATATTTATCAAGTTAGTCGCCCTCGGTGGACTAACTGTTAGCGTGCTCGCCACTGAACCTAAGGTTCGTGGGTTTAAACCCGGCCGAGGTCGATGGATTTTTAAGCGTGATAAAATACTGTATGGAAAATTTCACGTATTACAAACAGCTCTGAGTATAATAAATACAGTTTTAAACGTAGGATTATTATCCTGAAGAATACATCAATTCCTCCAAATGTTCTAGAAAAGAACTGAATTTTATTTGAGAAAATAACCTTTCTTTACATACAAATTGTAAAATGTATCCTTTGCATACATCGGTCTGTTTTAAAGTGGACGTCTACAACCATTGTGCATGGCAATTGAAAACGTATTACAAGTGTTTTTAGTTTTCAATATTTAATATAATGATTCAATTTACAAATCAGTCAATTTCGTTCAAACAGTGAAAGACATAGTTCTAAGACACGATATTTGAGGTTCCCAAGTCGGTCAATATATCGATATTACTCTCCTGATTTTTAAAGTCGTGTGGATTTTTAGGCAAAGTAGACACCAACGTTTCGGAGGAAAATACTGCCTCCATCTTCAACCCTAAAGCTCATCCAAAACTTAAAACTCATAAAAGCACGTATATTTTAATCTTTAAGTTTTTAAATGGGAGCGATTAGTATTTTAACATCTATTAATAATCGTTTTAGGAACAGCTGTGTCGATGTAGGAAAGCTTTCGAACTGACAGGTAGGGTATTCCACGTGTAATCAAAGTCCAGAATTTTTATATATTTTATATTATCGTGTGATATTTAATTCGGTATGAATCTTATTTATGTTTCTGCTTTTCCTCTACAGGATGTTCTAAAATTGAACAACACTTTGCCAAATGTTGTGGAACTGTACCGGGTCCCGTGGGATCAATTCAACCACATCGACTTCATAGTAGCAAACGACGTAAATCCCTTAATAAATGATCATATTATTTACCTTATGAAGAGATTTAAAACTCTGACATAAAATCTATCTATTATTTCATTATTTCAGAGTTTACTTACACGTTTTACATTTCTCACTCCCATTCCATTTTCCATTTCACCTTAAACGGTACATTAGATTACAATTATATATGATTTATTTAATCATACTGCCAATAAATCAGCTGTGTAGCGTTTAATGATATAACGATTAATTAATTATTAATTTGAAAGGATGTGGTATAGTCGGCGCAGTAGTTTTTGGCCCGTGGGATTTTCAAGGGGAAGGCTAGGAGCGAGTCTCTTGTGCTGATTGCACCGAGGAGCCCCAAACAAAAGAAATGCACTGACCGTGCCAACTCAGTTACACAGAGTAGGCCCGTCCGCCAGCTTCTCTACCGGCCAAAAACTACTTTACCGACTATAAGAAGCATCATGGCCTAATTTAAGGTATAATCTCTACATTTTTCTGTAAGTACTGAGTAAAACTTCGAAACCCGCAGTCATGATAGCAGATCTAAACCCGAGACCTCCAGAATATCAAGTACGAGTGCCAGGTTTTCGGTCTGTCTTGCTGTCTTGTGTCGTCTGTTGATGAGTGTCCACGTCGTTTTACATTGGGTCTCTCAGAAGGGAAGAAGGGGAGAGTGGAATATTAGTTTGACACGCTCTGCGCATGATCGGCTCAGTACGACAGTTCCGTTCTGCGCACAACATCGTCAGTTAGCAAGTGTAAGCAGCCAACTCCACTACACAGAATAGTCAGAGTGATTTCACTGCCGTACCGTTGCATAAACCAAGACGTGACGAGTCGAACCAAAATCCCTATTACGAAGTAAAGACTTCAAGTAAATTGACGCGGGTAACAGAAGCTTGAAGCCTTAAGCCTTGTAATGGAGTTATGACCCAGCACTGGAATATCAGAAAACATGATCGTCACTCTTAATTTAACATCTCTAACCATCCGTTCCATCAATTATTTAATGTTGCCGTACAGGTTAGGGTTGGCAAATGTCAGAACTTGGCAGAATGTGATTCTAACTCTCATTGAATAAGCATGGGGAGAAGGAACAATGTGGAAGAATCTTCTAAATGATGTTAAAGAAAGCAAATTGTAGAATTACGAACTGAAGTCTTGTAATGACGTTTAATACTCATGCGACTACTTAGCGTAAACATTGATTCGCCATGATGATCAGTCCTAATTGTATTTAACCGATTAAATTATGCGAAATATTAATCTTTGTTTCTTCAGTTCGTTATTAATTTAGAACACAGCAACTTTAATTCTTACGTGTAGATCCGATATGTAGATTTAACTTATTTATGAAGTTTACAATAAAAATGGATGTGTCATGGCTACTGTAAAGTGACTGCCCCCGCTGAGACGACATAGAAGAGTGATTTTTTTTAAAGACACGTCTGCAAGCAAAGATGTAAGGATCTGAGTGAATATCATCGAAACTTTGAATTCCAAGTAAAGTTTCCTCTTTCGAATGATTGAAATCTATCGCCTGCAACTTACATAAAATTCACTGGCAAACCAAAGCATACCGAGACCTCGACGTACAAATGGCATATGGGTAGGATGACGTAAATAATAAATAAGCGTATTTTGAATATTTTATATTAAATTTTGATCAACAAAGCTTATAAAAAAACCTATATTAATCCTCCTTCTTAGCTTATATCTCGGATAGAATGTAAAAATGTTCATCTTGGGGTCAGGCTGTTGGAAATCGAACCCAGGACAAGCTGTCAGTCGTCACTAACCCTGATTCTGGACAGAACAGGTGGCTAATTCGTGAAATAACCAACAAACAACAGCAGGCGAATAACAGTTATAGTGGTGATTCGTAATAAATGGTGATCAAAATATGGTTATATTTTATGTTCCAACATGATTCACTATTTACGCGTGACAGGTGCTCCAAGTCCAAGGTCCTTATAGCAGACGTTCTTTGCTTAATTACATGAGGAATGTTAAGACTTGTTTGCACAATATATAGGCCACCTTGCACGAAATGTTAGGTTAGGTTTCGTTTGAACAGAAATGGGACAATGAATCTGTGTATCTGAGGCATTCAATTATGGTATTCAGATTGTCAGTAATCATGTTAAATATAGAGTACAAGATATAATTTTTAAGAATTGTTACTTGAGGGATAATCCGCTGAACGAAAATAAATTTCTCATCAATATGAAATAAAAATTTACGATTATATTATATATAATTATATATATTTATATACCAGTAACCAATTTGGTTTTCTGTTATTGACGTTAATAATTAGAACTTCTATCGGTGCAATAAGTATTATTTTTTTTGAACAATCAAACATATATATATATATATCCTCGTATTGTTTTAAATATTCACACAAGCCTACGGGAAATATATTCCAAATAAAAGTTTAATATCTTTATCAGATCTATATTTTATACCACGTTCTAATTTTTTATACGAGCAGTTTTTTAAATATATGAAAGAGGTTATAATTGACCGTATAGCGAATTTAAATTTTAGAGTTTAGTGTAGACGACCTATGCCAAATTTAATCGAAATTATTTTCGTAGTTTGCAGTTAAAACATGCAGATTTACAAACAATTCTTAATGATGTGTTCATTTGTGCCAATAAAATTAAAAAAAAAACCTTTTCGTTTCTATACTTACAGCCGATCTGTATAATAGCATAAAAAATTAATTAAGTAGACTGTATCAGATACGAAAGTCTCCAAAAAAACTCGCATTCCAAATGACAAGCGCCAAGACCTATTTGTCGACGTTTCTGTTGGATATTAGAAGATAATTTACATCGTTCTGCTCAGTTATGACTAGCAAGTTAAAATATTTACACAAGTGATACAGAATGTAACATCTGGCAGCATGATTTATTATGAAGCAAGACTCGAAATGAAAGATGGCGTAACGAAATTTATGATAGCAGTGAAATTTATTATGCAATAAATTTCAAAAACTGATAATGAGTTGCAAAAAGTACAATACGGACATTTCACATTAGAGTTCTGATAAAATAATGGCAAATACACGAGTAATATAATTCAAAGACGCATTGTGAATAAAATTGGCAATTGTAAAAAACGTAGTAAAATACTGAAATTAAATATTTTACAAATTCTATCTTTGCTATTTTACACGACACTAGTTATTTACCATAAATAGTGCAAACTCAAGTATTTAAAAAAGTGTTAAAAATTTAAATATTAATATCAAATATGTTATTTAACTCCGTCTCTTGTTATATCGTCTCACCGTTCCTAAGATATAATATTAAAATTTTTAATAAAAAAAATGCTATACATAATAATTTTATCCTTTCATTATACCTCAGATAACATCATGAAAGAGTTTTGTTAAAAACATCACATACAAATATTAATAATTGTCTCATATCAGATTCTGATGACTTACTCTTGTGGATATGTTAATAAACCTTCTGTTTCCAAAACATTCGAGAAATTTCTTTACTATCAGAACGTAGGTTTTCAATAACTCTACTCCATGAAATTGATTACTTGATAAAAATAACAATTCATTCAATAAAGATAGTTTAGGAATGTTGAAACCTAGCACTTTTAATGAATTATCATAAATGTTCAATAATTTTCGTGATTTTTAACACGATGACCCGCAACTAAATAATAAAAATAAGTAATAAAATTTAGACATTTAACCTTGGCACAGTTTAACTGTAACATAATCTATCTTAGAAAATCTTAAAATAAAAATATCACAAATTAAAGAAAGTTTAGAGGCAGCATCTTTGTAATAATTCTATAAATTAAGTTAACAGAAACGTCACTAAACCTTCAACTGACTCCAACACACACATTTATATATTCATTCTGTCATTAACATGTTGATTAATCAAATTAATTTTGAATGTAAAATTATCATTACTTATCATACAAATAGCTACAAGTGTAGCTTTGTTTGTGTAAAGATTACTGTCGTGTTAGTGATGTGATGACGATTTATCACATGCTGCAGTCTATATAAGGTGGCAATCCGATCCACGCTGGGAGAAATTTCACCAGGTGGAACGTGACAGAACGATCAAACAAAGTATTTTGTACTTTATCGGAGTGATTCAAAATGGTGAGTGTTTTTATGCAAGATATTTTTAGTGAGTGAGAGATTGCTTAGCTGAAGAGAACAGATCTGGATAGAAAGCAAATAAATGTACATGTAAAAATATTCGAAAAATTATTCTGTTAATCGTAATAAATTTTTCAATTATATTATTGTTAAGCACTGAAACTATCCTCCATATTTAAGCAAAAATATCAAATTTCTCTGCAAGAAACTGAAGTTACAAACCGTACGTTAGTTTAACACGATATTTTCGGAAATACAAGTAGAAATTCTGTAAATAATAAAGACAAAAATATTGAAGGAAGGAGAGATGTCAGAATATTGAATAGGTTTATCAAAAGATTTTTTTTAAAACACGTATTAATTTGGATACATTTAATAGTACACTGAAGTGTGGTGAATGTTAAACTTCCACAATATTCCAGGGTGATAGTAAAAGCGAAATCTGTTAAATATTAACGTAAGCCCAAGTGTTAAAGAACATGAAATGCTTTTTTTCAAAACATTAGTCTGAGAATCAAGCGAAATTTTAATCGAGAGATTGAAAGTTACAAATCATCACATATCGATTTCATTATAAATAAATCGATCATAGCAGGACGACGAAATACCGAAATTCGTAAGAGGTTAATAAATTCATATCATCTCTTTTTAGAGTTTGAAACTTGTTAAACTGGTTAAGTTTAAAGGGTGAAAATACAAATTTCTACTTTATTCACAACTTAATTTTAACAAAACTTGGACTATATATTATCGGAAGCTTTGATGGTGTTGAGTCTGTACTCTAACCTTTACCTGTTCATCTGCTGATAATCTTCTGATGTCATATTTTTCTTTCGTTGGATTTAAACTTGAATTACCAGCAAGCATCAGCGTGTTCGGTTAAATTTACAATAGCTTCTTTTCTAATTTATATTACTGTTTCCCTCTTTCCGCAAACTTAGAAATAATTTACTTGGTTTATACGTAAGTGAGATGGTATTGTGCAAACTATTATGTTACCTGGTGGTCATCGAAGAGTTTTGTCATCAAATGATATTTGTTGTGGGATATCTATAGATTGTGCAAACAATTTTTTACGTTGAAATATTCTATTACATATGTAATAAGTTTTTTTTACTCTATGTTTTACAAAGAACAGATTAATGGCAATATTGTTAATATTAATATTATTAATAATATTAATAAGTATATTAATTGGATGTGATTCTTTTTTACTTTTACAGAAAATAATGCAGCTATGGTTTCAACAGGTCTACCTCCTATTACTAACTATGACATTCTACGTCCCTGGATGTTTGGCAGGAATTTCATTATTTTCAGATAACTCTACCTTAGCTGCAGCGTACAAAGTAATTGAAAACGCAATAGAAAGTGTGGATCTCTCAGATATCGTCGAAAACTTGTTGAACAAAGCTGCAAATCCGGATCAATTCCTATCTGCGGTAAATGTTATCTAACATCACAGTTTAACACTAATCTTTACTGATTATTATATAGACCTACATATGTAATGACTTTTAATTACAATTCTTTAATACGACAATTATTATTATTATTATATCGTTGTATTTGTTTCGTGGTTGCAGATATCAGTAGGGATATTTTCAGTCTTACGTAGTTAATGTTTCTTAAAATACTATCTGTCCTTTTAATATCACTTAAAAATAGTAATTTCTTGTATAATCGTATAACAACATATTTTAAAATAACTCAATTTTTATTTTAAAATTATCAATAAATTGCATCTCGTATGACTGATTACGTCACTTCATGTTGAGACAGTTCAATTTATTAGGATAATTTTATCAGGATATAAGATAGTTTGTGCTCAATAGCACAGCAGAATAAAAAGAAATTATTCATATCTTCTGTTGTTCTCCAAAATTATGTTAAAGTTTACACCAAAACAATTTGTCTCCTTTCTCTGGCAGACAGACTTCAAAGTAATCCCTGATACTTTAATGTTTTTGTTTGCTGTCACAAAAAGATTTTTTAACGATTACAAATATATTTAAATAAAAAGTTTTTTGGATGTTATCCAACGTCCAATAAAATAATAAAATTGACGACGTTTCGGAGATAAGGATTAGCTTTATCGATTGGGTCCAACAGAGTAGGTATATCTAAAGACGGAGATAGAGTCCCATCTCCGAAACGTCGTTCAATTTTATTATTTTATTAGATGATGGGTAACATCCAAAAAACTTTTTATTTAAATAACTCGCCATCGTCACAAACTTTTAGATTTAAGACAAATATATTTCAACATGTTCTAATTTATTATTGTAAAACACCCAATGTAGATATCTTCATGTGATGTCATTATATTTATTCCAGTCTATAATTATCTAATATTATATAGTGTTTAATGACGGCATTATTAATGAATGACGAATTTTTTTAGATATGAAAGCAAGCGATGGCAATCCACCTAAGGTACTACCACGGTATACTGAAGAAAATTACAAAAACATATCAGGATAGCCAATCTCCAGAACTAAATTTGAAATTGGGACTTCGAATTTACGAAAAAGATCACTAATCACACCAACGTCACTTTGTTATCAAGCGACCTTGAAAATATTATATAGGTCTGGTTAGTTAAATAAAGAAAATGATAGTAATTATGTCCGGTAAATTCATAAAGCTTGTGTGGTAACAATACGGATAATAAACAGGCCTAGAACAGAACCAATGCCTGTTTCGGTCGATAGTCGAACGACACATGTAGTGAAAAATGGTAAAATATAACATAATAAATACTACAAAGTTATTTATATAGTTATCACTTATTTATTTTAATCCGTCTGATCACAATATTTAAAATTTCTTATAATTAAGATAATAAAATATTATTCATGTTCCATATCGATTGATCGATTTACATTTCGGAATATTTACACAACATGTTTCGGTTTTTATAAAACCATCATCAGGTGTAAAATATATCTAAGAACTTAAACCTCAATTATGATTTCTGTAGTTTTTTGGTGATGTTTCATTACAACACCTTCGCCCAAAAATGGAAAAACAAACGTAATGAAACATCACCAAAAAACTACAGAAATCATAATTGAGTTTTAAGTTCTTAGATATATTTTACACCTGATGATGGTTTTATAAAAACCGAAACATGTTGTGTAAATGTTCCGAAATGTAAATCGATCAATCGATATGGAACATGAATAATATTTTATTATCTTAATTATAAGAAATTTTAAATATTGTGATCAGACGGATTAAAATAAATAATTGTTATAATATTCACAATATGACGCAATTACACTATCTTATAGTTATCACTGTTTCAATGGACTTACCATTCAGCGTTTGTTTCGCAGCCAGAATTGATCGTCAAATATGGCTATCCAGCGGAGAACCACACAGTGACCACTACAGACGGCTACATCCTCACTTTACATCGCATTCCCTACAGCCCCAAGTCTCCAGCTGCACCCAACAAGCCAGTTGTATTCCTGCAACACGGTATTTTATCAAGTTCGGCTGACTGGATCATACTTGGACCTGAAAATTCTCTCGGTAAGCAAATGTCTTTATGCAAATTCACATATTTCCCGGCGGTGCCCGAATTTATAACTTGTGTTGGGCAAGGCCGTGGTCTAGGCAACACGGAGTTTTCCTCCGTGGCATCCCAACAATTACTCCACTCACAGACACAGAAGAAGGCAATGGCAAACCACTTCTGGATCATCTGCCAAGAACGTATATGAACAGGTCCCAGTCCGAGAAAAGGATGGAAGGATCCTGTTCATATGGACCTGTCGTCACACAGAACACTAAATAATAATAACAATAATAATAAGCATCTTAGAGTAAAGTTTCAATAAGTGTTTCACAATGTCGTTTTTATTTAAAACTATTTTGTTTCATAAATATTTTCACATCATAGCATGTTGATCTAGTATTGCAAATATCTATTGCAGTATATCGCATACTCATGCTTAAATTTTTAATTTTATAGTTAAAATCGAGTCAGAGATCAACACTAATACAATTGTAAGATTGACCACATCTCTCAACAGTGCCTTACATATTACACAATAGAAAATTTCCGGTATTCTGTGACTATAGAAATGATCCCCCCTTAATATTTTATCAGTTATTTCGTATTTCACATGTTTGAACATTCTAAAAATCAGTGTGTTATCAACACATAATTACTTTACAATTTTTATTTGATTTCCTAAATCATTAAAATGAGATTTGTAAGGATAATGATGTATATTTTGTCAGCTTTAGAAATTAAATTTTCATATTATTTGCATAATTTTCCATTATATTACTGAAACTTGTATTTTAGCTTTTGACAACCAAATTCATATTTATCTCCTTAAGAACATGAAATTTCCTCAAAAATTCAAAAATCTGTTCCGGTATCTGACATCTACAAACCAGCTCACATCGACTAAAATTAACAATACAAATCAAAACATTGTGGCCTAATGATTTGTGTGTTACGTTCAAACACTTACTCCCATCTAGTGTCAAGGTTTGGAATGAGTAGGAGCTACACACCCCCCCCTCTCTCCCCAACACCCCTCCCGCGCCTACGTGCGTATAGCGGGACAGCGTTTTTCTTTTGTTTTTGTGTGTTACGATTCTAACGCCTAAAAGTCTATACGAAAGAAATTTAAGATCACAATCGATACTTTCAAAGCATTTAAAACTGAAATCTCATAAGCTATAGAAAACCAGACGTGAAAACGTTCTTTAACGCTGTTATTCGACTAGGATAAACTTCTACTGTTCAGGATATCTGCTAGCTGACGCTGGCTACGACGTGTGGCTGGGAAATGCGAGAGGCAACACATACTCCAAGCGACATGTTAGCCTTTCTCCATCAGATTCCAAATTCTGGGATTTCAGGTAATGAAAAAAGTTGTGAGATTTCAGGTCCTCACGGCTATATAATTCTTCTGGCCCCGAACAGTTCAGCCTTGTAGATGTACAGAGTATGTCTCTCCGAAACGCTTGTGTCTACCTATGAATCTAGATGACGTAATATCACAGAATAAAAAAAATTGTAACCTTAATTAATATAAGTCTCGTTTCTCTAAACAAACGTATTTCCGATATTTATTTTCAGATAATAGATATAGACGTTAATTATAAAATATTCAGATTACTGTATTTATTTATTTAATTAGTTTCAGTTAATGACAGCTTTAATAAAATTCCCCTTAACTTAATCTACCTTCCTAAAGAGTATACAATATTTATACTAAGTATGAGTTTAAAAATTAAACACCTAAAAAAAAAATCAAAAAACACGCCTTCTGCTTCGAGTGTTTTCAAGTCAATGCGAAAAAGTATTAAATTCTTTGTTGAATTTTATCTTCTGGGTTATGATAGTAATCTAGAAGGCTGTTACCAGCAGTCTTAATAAAATAACGTATCAGTACGGTAATTAATTTAATTTCAGAGAGATCTTTGTAATTGGAGTGTCCCTTTCATCAAACAATTTTAAGAACTAGCTTCCTGTAAAATTGGTATTGGGGAATTTTTACCTAAACTTGTACAATGGCTTTATTACTATTTTGAAGCAGACGATAAGGGGTTTGAAGTCCTTCCTTGACCTTGAAGTATGCAATTTGATGGATAATATACTCTTATACAAGTATTCTGAGTACTGTAAGGAGTAGGCATGTGTCAGTGAACAACTTTACTGTTTAACGTTGAATCGGTTTATAATTTACTTAATAATATAAGTTTTACGAATAAAAATGAATGAATAACATGCAATTGAATTGTTACAGTTGGCACGAAATGGGTATATACGACTTGCCTGCAGTCATTGACTACGTGTTAGATCAAACTGGTCAAGACAATCTGTACTATATTGGTCACTCCATGGGAACCACAATGTTCTATGTACTGACGTCTTCCTTGCCTCAATACAATGCCAAGATTAGGCTAATGACAAGTCTAGCCCCTATAGCCTACATGGGATTTGTGAAGAGTCCGCTATCAAAATTCTTTGGGGCCAATCCATTAACAAAGGTATTCCTTCATTAGAAAGTATATTAACTTAGGATAGGTTAGGTTAGTTTAGGTTAGGTTAGGTTAGTTTAGGTTAAGTTAGGTTAGGTTAGGTTAGATTAGATTAGATTAGGTTAGGTTAGTTTAGGGCAGGTTAGGTTAGATTAGATTAGGTTAGGTTAGTTTAGGGCAGGTTAGGTTAGATTAGATTAGGTTAGGTTAGTTTAGGGCAGGTTAGGTTAGATTAGATTAGGTTAGGTTAGTTTAGGGCAGGTTAGGTTAGATTAGATTAGGTTAGGTTAGTTTAGGGCAGGTTAGGTTAGATTAGATTAGGTTAGGTTAGTTTAGGGCAGGTTAGGTTAGATTAGATTAGGTTAGGTTAGTTTAGGGCAGGTTAGGTTAGATTAGATTAGGTTAGGTTAGTTTAGGTTACTTTAGGTTAGGTTAGATTATATTAGATTAGGTTAGATTAGATTAGGTTAGGTTAGTTTAGGTTAGATCAGATTAGGTTAGGTTAGTTTAGGTTAGATCAGATTAGGTTAGGTTAGTTTAGGTTAGATCAGATTAGGTTAGGTTAGTTTAGGTTAGATCAGATTAGGTTAGGTTAGTTTAGGTTAGATCAGATTAGGTTAGGTTAGTTTAGGTTAGATCAGATTAGGTTAGGTTAGTTTAGGTTAGATCAGATTAGGTTAGGCTAAGTTGAGGGTTTGGAAGCTGTTCTTATACCACACTACCCTTCTTTAAAATTTATCTTCTGCAGTAGGTGGATACAGATCTATAATGTACAATTCTTATAGAAGCACGCATCAAAATATTTTCAGTGCACTGATAAGTTACGAAACCATATACTTTTTTCCAATCATCACTTTGCATCAAATAAGAGTAAATATTAAACGTATTCCTAGCATTCTACTACTAAAAAGCTAGCAACTAGCAACAGGACATTTTCCATTTCACATGGAGTGATACTGACAGGGAAATCAGAAGGGCTCTGATAAAAATATTTCCCAGTGTCTCACTGTCCACCAGAAATCTCACATTGACTGACACAGGCGAGAAACCAAGCCTTCACGGTGAGAGCTACAATGAGCTTCAAATCTAACCTCTTTGTTACAGCCATTGGCGAGCATGCTTGGTATAAATCAGTTTCTACCAAGTAACGACCTTACAAGTGCCTTTTTGGGTTACATCTGTTCCGATGGCTCAATTATACAACAAATTTGCAGTACAGTGTTGTTCGCTCTGTGTGGGTACGATCCTCAGGAGCTGAACTCAGTAAGTTATCAATTGTTCACTTCAGAGCTAACGACTTTCGCGGATCGCAGCCATGCAATCGAAAACCAACCGTCCGACTATCGATATATTCCGTGTTACTCACAGTGCCCAGTGTACAAAACAGACGAAGATTTATTCTTCCCACATCATTTTTTATCAGACGTCAAATGGGCTTGTATTAGAAAATACGTATTTAAATACGAGGTGCGATCGGAAAGTTTCAAGACTGCGCCTATAAAAACCCTTACACTTATCTCAGGTATTAAATTCATCCATCACCCTCGAAGTAGTTCCCCTGGGAGTGAACACAACAATCCCAGCGCCGCTGCCAAGCCTGGAACCATCCCTGGAAATCTTTCTTTGTCAGCCTGTCAAGCACCATCTGCGATTCTGCCTGAATCTCTTCTATCGTCTCAAATCTCCTTCCCTTTAGCTGAATTTTCATCTTTGGGAAGAGGAAGAAGTCACACGGAGCTTAGGAAGGAAGTTGGGGTCGGTTCTTGCAAGATCTTTTAGCTCCTGACAAACGAGAAGTCGATTCTGCTTCTGGTCCTCAGACAGGAGCCTTTGCGTCGCATGTGGAGTTCTTCCTTTAGAATCAGCTGACAGGTCCCAACAATGTCGCACAAGTCGTTATGGTACGACGTCGATCTTCGTGAATGGCCTGCCGAATCTTCGTACCATTTTCGGGCGTTGTGCTCGAAGATGGTCGTCCAGAACGCTCGTCATCATCGACAGAAGTTCGGCCGTTTTTAAAACGTGAATGCCACACAAAAGTTTGTGCACGACCCATTGCGGACTCCCCAAATGCTTGCTTTAGCATTTCATAGGTTTCCGTAGCCGTTTTGGCGAGTCTTTGGCCAAATTTGATGCACACGCCATTCCGAAATCGCAGGAGGGTCGGTGTAATGCACTACCAAAACGCCCGTAACTAAGAAACAAATGCTAATTCGATGATGCCGGCTGGCACACTGATTCACTATGAATGTAGGCCGCACCCGCTAAAGGCAGAAGCTCGTACTACATCCGGTTCGCCCTCTATTGACACAGTGTTGAAACTTTCCGATCGCACCTCGTACAGTATAAAATAATTAATCGCTCGACAGATATCTGTAGAAAATTATTATTTTCAGTTCATGACCTACCATTCTTGACAGAGGTAAATAAAATTTGTCCAAATTTGGTGCTGTTTTATACAGTAGTTTAGTTTATTTCGTAGTTTACTGTCAAAATAAAGCTACAAAGTTTTCGTCTGACTATAATTAGTCACGTGGGGGTTGCTAACTTCCGTCTTCTCAAAGACATCCGTTAGAAAGAATATATTAATTAACACTGTTTCAGAAGAAACTGTTCTGGGAAACTAGAACCCTCTAGAGGTTACCATTTTATCATTCATTTACCAGTTATACCCAACGATTCAGCAAAATATCGACAACTAAGTAATCATTTCAATATATGGCCAAAAATGAAAGTTTTGTTTATGTTCCATTACCCAAATCATGCAGCGGATTGTGATTCATCAAATTGAGATAAATTAAAAACAAATTAAAACTTTCTTTGGCATTTTTATTAATCTTAGGTAAAACAGTTATTATTACGTTTTCAGAACAAATATAAAATATTTATTTTTGTTTAATCAGTATATCAGATTACACAGCTGCGAATTAATTAATAAATTATTAATGAGTAATCGATTTGAAAGGGCTTGAAAAGAAGCTATTATGAAACGACAACCGTTCTTAATAGCAATATTTGAAGACAGGACTTCCAGGATACAAGCAGTAAAAGCTGAATCACTCGACTTTAATATTTGGTCAAAATATATTACCAAATTGTATGCCAAGGCCACAGAAAGACCACTCTCTTTTCCCCGGGGCTCAGCACAGAGCTGTTAGCTTCGTGACACTTGAATTGAGCTGATTTCTCTCACCTGGGCTACATTTTTCATGTGACAAAGTTTCACGATTTTTCTGTGACCTTGAAATGTGCAATTTTCTGACTGCAACTGGTAACTGTTACGTTTTCATTTCTTGCAGACAATGTTGCCTGTATTAATGTCCCACGCCCCTGCTGGATCATCGGCGAAATCATTTTTACATTATGCCCAAGATATGAATTCAGGTAAGCTATGTAGATGTAGCTTTCAGCCTGCTTACTACGTAAACTACTAAAATCTTATCAACAGAATGCAAACGTAAACACTAACCTACGAACTTTAAAATGAGATTTGAGGTTATCACAGTGGTATGACGTCGGTGTTGAACTCCTAGGTTGTAACGCCGTGTGGACTTAGGTAGATACTAACGTTTAGGAAGAACATACCACCTCCATCTTCATGGCAGTAACATCGGTATCTACCTGTAAGTCCATACAGCATTACAACCCATAAGACAAACATCCAGATAAGGTAGTATATTTGCGTCATATTGTGAATTAAGTTAATATTTTAATATTTTCCGTCAAATCACAATTTTTAATAATAAGATAATAAAATATAAAATATTTAAACCTCGACCCGACACAGTAATACTTCTAGATGTCTTCCGCTAAACACTTCTACTCATCACCGACTAATATTGAACATCAGATGAACCACGCCATATATATAAAAAAACAATAAAAAACAATACCTTCGTTTTAATATATAAGAGTAATCTGATAAGAACATCTTCAATAAACTGCATAACATTGTAAATGATTGTAATTCGAGTTTTAAATTTACCAATCTAATTTATACCTGAGGACGGTTAAATATAACCGAAACATGTCGTAAGAGACGTTCCAATTTGTAAATCGATCATTCGATGCGGAACGTGAAATGATATTTTAAATATTTTATATATTAAAAATTGTGATTTGATGGAAAATATTAAAATATAAACATCCAGATATTAACTGTTAGTCTAATTCCATTGTGTTCTGAATCAGGATCTTTCCGACATTGGGACTATGGTTTTATAGTAAATTTGTTCCATTATGGTCAACTGTCACCGCCTGAATACAATGTCTCAGCCATTACAGTTCCGGTTCGACTATTTTACAGCGACAATGACTGGTTCGGTGATCCGACGGTACGTATCTGCACATTCTTGGTAGATTATTTTTTTAGCAAAAATCCTATATTAAAAGGAATTTTAACACTATTTTAACCAGATAAGAGTAACAATTAATTTAATATTAAGTAAATATTTGAAAATATTATTATAATTATATTACATATCTTATATATTATATTGTGTTATGATATATTCTTGAATTACAGGATGTTCATAAACTGAATCAAAGTTTGGGTAAGCCTGTGGGAGAGTATCGAGTCCCATTAGACTCATTTAATCATCTCGACTTCCTGTGGGCCATTCACGTGAAGAGTTTAGTCAATGACGAAGTTATTAATTTCTTGGCGAACTACTAAAAGCAAATACAAACCAACATATACAGGGTGTTCGATTCTGATGACCATCTACCGGAAAGCGGCTACACTGAACTGAACCCAGCTACAACACCCAATACGTAAAAAAAGTAATGAAGAAATTTTGGATGTCAATTCTTTTCGTTGAATACAATAGTAATTGTGATATGTATTATCTTCTGTTTAACTAACTTCAATATTTATGAGATGGTAAAGTTGCGTCATATTGTGATATAATAAATATATATTATTTAAATCTTGTCCGTCTAATCACAATAAATTCTTATTAAATATTAAAATATTACAATAATTAACATTTAAAATATTTTAAAATATTAAATGATGTTCTTTATCGAAATATTCGATTTTACATTAGCGTTCAATATTTATTTTGTTACACAATAAAAATGTTAAACCATTCATTTCTCTGCTGCTGGATATAACTCATCCAAAGTGACTCTAAACCCAAAAATAAATGGACATGGCTAATTTAAGTTGAATTACGAGACACTATTATATTACGTTATATGTTTACATACGCTGAAGAATATTTCTGTGATAATTGGGCTTTGTAAAAAGCAGGTATATAAATCTCACGAAAATTCTGTGACGTGGGATGAAACAGCTAGAAATAGGTAAACCCGAAAAAATAAATAAATAAAAAACAAACATTTGATTTTCAGCAACAAATATGTGAATATTACTTCAAGAATTAAAGGACGCTACATTTTAAAAATTTGATAGTCTAAAAAAAATGCAGTGACTTCATGGAAAATGTTTTCGCTAGAATGTTCAGAATTTGCTGTATTACGGAAACCTGGCTTAATGACTCTATATTAAGCAATAATATTTTTCCGGGATCTTATTACGTGTTTCGTGCTGATAGAGATTATTGAAGCTCCAACAAAAAACGCGGAAGTGCTGGCTTCATTTTTCATTTTCCGGCGTTAAACGAAGGTATGATCTGGAAACTATTGAAGAGAGTCCGTGGATTGAAATTCCTATAAGATACAACCACAGTCTATTTATAGGGAATCATTACTCTGCCCCTGGATTGTGCCATAAACGTATTCGAAAATTATTTAAACTCTTTAGAAGTAAATCTAAATTCTTATCTCTATCGGGTAGTCACGTTAGATTTTAATGTACCAAAATATGACTGGATAATTCAATTCAACTCAATTCCTGTCCTCATTGGTTTTCTAAATCGTTTATATATTATATTAAGAAGAAAAATTTGTCTCTTAAGAAATTTAAAAAATCCAAATCTGATTATCATTACAGCGTCTCTTTCGTGTTATCGTAAACTAGTTAAAATGACTATTAAAGTAGATTGATTTGGTTAAAAACAATTAATGATAATTTGAGAACTCAACCAATGCACTTGTGGAAATATATTTCTAAATTAAAAAATAAATATCAGTCTATTACACAAATTAAAATCGGAGAGAGAATTATTACGTAACCACAGTCCATCGCAAAAAGACCTTTGCAGACCGCTTTTGTTCTGTTTTTAACTCCTCTTTTGCATCAATTTTCCAAATAGTTCTGTCTTCGCCTGTTCTGATGTTTTGAATATTCCGCGTGTCTCTCTGTTGATGATGTTAAACGGGCGATTAGTCGTCTCAGTTCGACGAAATGCTTCGTACCTGATGAAATCCCGAGTTTTATTATAAAAGACTGTACTGATATATTCATTTCTTTTTTAAATCACATTTTCGATCTTAGTTTACAGACTGGGAGCTTTTCCATACTTTGGAAATAGGCTCTTATTAAAGACTACAGGTCAATTTCAAACATGAATAATTTTTTTAATGTATCGTATATGATCACATTTTCTTCAATTTCAAATTTAAATTACATCCTAGTCAGCAGGGTTTTATTAAATTAAAATCTACTTACTTATCTAAATGATATTCTACCATCTGTTCACAGGGAAAATTTGACTGTGTATATTTTGATCTTAGGCAGGCCTTTGATTCAGTACCCATTCTATTCTTTTGAAAAATCTTAATCATTTTGGACTATCTTCTCCTTATGTCAAGTGGTTCCAAAGTTATTAATCAACTACATCGGCCTTTATTCGTATTTTAGGGCAGTCTTCCTCTCCTTACTCGGTGTTATCTGGAGTACCTCAAGGCCCTACCTTGTGACCTCTCTTATTTAATATTTTTATTAACGACCTTTGCGACAAAATTAAGTATTCTAAATTTCTCTTATTTGCTAATGATTTGAAACTATATCGCGATATTAAATCTGTGGATGACTGCAAATCTTTTCAAGCAGATGTTGATTCCGTACATCAGTGGTGTGCTGATAACATAGAGAAAACCAAAATTATATCGTTCACCCGTAAAACCAACAGTATCCATTTTAATTTCATTGTTAGTGACTTTTTAATCTTGCGTACTAATTGTATAAAAGATCTTGGTGTTTTGTTCGACAGTAAACTATATTTTCACTGTCATGTAAATTTTGTTCATTCCCAGGCACTAAGGACCTTAGGGCTTATTCGTTTTATTACTTATAATTTTTCCTCTTTAGACAGCCTTGTTGTTTTATATAATGCTTTAATTAGGTCTAAGCTTGAATATGTCTCGGTCGTATGGAACAATCTTACACAGACAGATTCTAATAAATTAGAAAATATTCAAAGGAAATTTGCCAGTTTGTGCAATTACCGATTTTTCCAGTTTAATATCCCGGACGTATTTCGCATAAACATTGTCTCCCTTGAGGGCACCTTCTCAATAAGGGAAAAGATCTAGATAGGTGTCTTGATAGATGATCTAGCTTCGTTATCTGTTTTTTATATTTCTTTAACGTTTTACATTTATATTATTGTTCCCTAGGTGGATTATTTGTTTTCATTTATATTTGTTCATTTATTTTTATTTTATAATATTGTTTCTATTTTGGGTTTCCCTGTATTTAGCTATCATATTTAATACTGTACATGTATAAGTTTAGTTAATCTGTTTGTGTAATATTTTTCATTATTATTTTATTATTATTGTATGTATTATCAGTTTTTGTCTGTTGTTGGATTCTTGATGTTCCCAAAGACTTAAATATATGAATTGAATTGAATTATTATTTAACTGCGGAGAAGAAATTGTAATTTGTTTCAACATTTTCTGTCATAAGTATTTCGCGTCTAAAGGTGTTTTGCTCGTACCGTTCCATGACAGCAAACGTGCATTGTTCTGAAACTTTAATAGAACGGTTCTAAGTGTCGAGAGAAAGTAAGTTATGTTTCTTTTGATGGGATACAACAAAGGAGTCCTGAATAGTTTGTTCGCAAGACGATTTATCATATTTGGGACTTGGAAAGTTGTTATGAACTAAAGCCGAATACAACGATCTCTCCTTCCAAACGTCGCCGATCTGCAATTCGTCAGAACGCACTGTGAGAGAAATCAGTAGCTTCATACAGTTGCATTGAATGGAGCGGAGTGCAGGACACAGTGAATGACAGACTGTCTTGGAGAGAGCGATGAGTAACATGCAGTCATCTGCAAAGAACATTTGTTTGAAGTGAGGCTTTCTAACACTGCGTAACAATCGATAAACTTCTACTCGACACTGCAGGTGAGATAAATATTCTAAAAAATATGCTACAATCTTATTTACTAACTGAAATGCCTTGCAATCAGTCCAGCTGATTGACAAACTACAAGTAACAGAAGCTTTGATAGTAATTATTCATAAGATAGTGTAGTTGCGTCATATTGTGACTTATTAAATTAAAATTAAATTATTTGGTTATTCCGTCAAATCACAATGTATTTAAAATAAAATAATTAAAATATCAATCTGATATTTGATATTTTAATTATTTGAATGATATTTTAATTATTTTAATTATCTTATTTTAAATACATTGTGATTTGACGGAATAACCAAATAATTTAATTTTAAGTAATTATTCAGTTAATCAAGAAACTAACAGTTTATAGCAGTAGTTATAAAAATTACATATTAAAACATCCGTACCGTTCATGAACTTGAATTTATAAATTAATAACTAAATAATTTAGTTTCAAAAGCCTTTTTGTCCATTTTATAAATTTTTGGAAAGTAACTTTTAGGTAGAATTTAGTAACTAAAAAAAACTCAGTTAATTTCATCACAAAAATAATTATTTTTACGTGTTTCAAAATATTCTGTTTCCTTGATGCGTTTTCAATGAAATAGTATCTGATTACCATTTTGAAACCCAATGTTAAGTATTGTACCAGCTGCTTTAACGACCTTAAATACAAATCTCATAGTAAACAGGGACTATTTTCTTGAACCAAAATGAACCAATCGATCTATGTAATGATAGAAAATATGTTTTTCGGTAAGGACTGAAATATTGAATGTTACATTGACGAGTTTAGACTTCAAAGAGTAAAATAAAAGTCAGTATTAACGAATTTAAAAAACTAGAAATCATAACAGAGCAAATGAGCTAAAAAATCATTAAAGTATGTTTATGTTTCCTAACTTTTTATGTCAGTGGCGTTTTTAATGCATGCTTTGTATAAAAGTGTGTAGTTTAGTCAGTCTCGTTTCCATCTATTTTTACCTGAGTCGCCACTGATCATGTCCTGAGGTTGCGGATGGAGGAACATTTTCCAGTTATGGAAGTTAGCTGCGAATACATTGCATCAGCAGTCGCAGACAGCTGACGAGGGGTGGACATCCAGCTTGGGGGTTCTGCGTGATGCTAACAGACTTTCACGGTAAAAGAAAACTGTCTTGTAACAAAAAATTTTAGCCTAAGAGAAAATACGATGGGGCATGGAAAAAACTGCATAATGACGAGCTTAAAAATCTGTACTCCTCCCCCAGTAATGTCAGGGTGATTAAGTCGAAAGAATGAGATGGGCCGGGCATGTAGCGCGCATGGATGGGACAAGAGGTGTGCACCGGGTACTGGTTGGGAAGCCTGAGGGGAAGAGACCGCTGGGGAGACCTAGACGTAGATGGGAGGACAATCTCAGGCGGGATCTATGGGAGATAGGAGTTGAAGGAGACTGGATTTTGTTGGCCCAGTACAGGGTCCGGTGGAGGACTTTGGTTAATTCGGTGATGAACCTTCGGGTTCCGTAAGCCATCTAGTTAGTTATATATTTTCCCATTTGCGCTATGTACTTCTATCGATTGGTGAGAGTTTGAACGCCATGTTTGTGTTCTGTATCATTTTTAAAGTGTCAAGTTCTTTTTTGTTCACCCTATATAGAATTTAGTGTCTTAGTCGGGTCACTGGTGACACATCCATAGTATCAAATATCGCAAATTGTTCCGACAGTGGGAATATTTTTAGTTAGGGGTCATGTATTTAGGCCACCATTCTGCATGACGTCACAGCTTCAATAGATAGATAGTTGAGGTGCCACAGACAGAACTTACTTTCAATTGTTTCGCATCGCATTAATGGTACGCCTGAACTGTCAAGCGAGACGTACATTGGGCATTACATTAAGAACAGAAAAGTTTTATGGATATAATAAGCCTATAATGTTGTATTTCTTCAAATAACAAACATAAAAAGGCCCGAACATTGACCTGATAAGGATGCGTCCACATACACAGCGCAATATTCATAAACCGTAGCTAATGGACTTACCGAGTCCTTCCTAATATTTCAGTTCTGTATTATATAATAAAGATGACGGCAACGTAAAATTTCGCTGTCAGCTGTTACCTTGGCTTTGTTTCTGTGTTCCAGACTGAATATCAAAATACGTTCTAAGCCTATGTTAATTGCTTAGATACTTACACAGGGCAATCTTCGTTTCGTGTGTTATGTGCGTAAGTTATTGAACAGTACGAAAGTAAATAAAGAAAACAATAATATAATAGAATAAAATAAATAGAATTTCAGGTTCTATCGGCGGTGAGTACGAAGATGGCTGTCTTCTGGGTTCTTCCGCGTATGTAGTCTGATAGAATTTTACAGGCGTTTCGGAGGTAATTTCTGCTTTCATCATCATGGTGATGTGTAAGAAAACCATAATCAAATTATAATAATAAAATAAGATTGGAAAAGGGTTGTTCTTAAAAAAGGCTTATACTTAGTTTTTGAATGTGTTCTTTGGGGATCTGAGAATATATGAAGTTTCTGGTAAGAGCCAGAAAGTTTCATAAGGCAAGAATATCGATTAAGAAACTGATAAATTTCAACTTAAGCTTCGTTAATATAGAGCTTTATATAGGCATATTATATGGACACGAATAAAAATATATCTGCCCGATAAATTAGACCTAGTCATTACAGAATTACATCGAATCCCATTTAGTAGTTTCGGAGATAAACTTACGAACAGACACAACATTCCAATAAAACGTTTCTTTTTACAAGATGACATGTATACAGACTACAGTTCAAATCAGTACACTTCAAGTGGTCCATTAGACTGGGCCTTATTCCACTTCTTGACTGAAAACCAAGTTTAAGCTAGAGTAACAACACCCCACTGACTGCCGAAATTACGTAATTGAAGATTTCTGTCTTCTGGGTTATTGCGCTGTGTAGTCTGGTCGATGTTAACCAACGTTTCAGAGGTCATACTGCCTCCGTCATCAGGGATTCATCGCCCTGATGATGGAGGCAGTATGACTTCTGAAACGTCGGTAAACATCGACCAGACTACACAGCGCAATAACCCAGAAGACAGAAATCTTCATCGCCCTGATGACGGAGGCAGTATGTCCTCTGAAACGTTGGTTAACATCAACCAGACTACACAGCGCAACAACCCAGAAGACAGAAATCTTAATACTCACCGATGTGATAACCTCAAATCTTACAAATACGTAATTGTAGGAATTTCCGAGACACTGAACTTTTTAAGGGGATCAGAACTCAAGATTCTATCTTAGGGGATAAAGATGAGATCTGATTCACAGACTAGTACTGCTACAATGGGCGTTTCAAAGATCTCTTATGAATTATGTAAAATTTAGGACAGAATAATATACAGTTAAAAATTCATCTTTAAGCGAGGATGTTACAGTTTTGAAACTTAAAGGTTCAACCTAGGTGTAAGATGGAGAATCAGGACAACTACGAACGCTCGTAACACTTACCATAAACAAGTCCTCCGAGTCGCGAAACAAAACGTAACAAAACTTCGTGCATTAACACGTATAAAATTAACAGGTTGTATGAGAATTATAACAAATTGTGTCACAAAAACACGCGATCAATGCCAGTATGGAAGAAAGATAACTGGTTTGGAGTGACAGATTACTGCCCGTAGCAAACGGGGATCGCTTCGTGTATAAACCACTTTTCATTTTTTAATGTATTTGCACAAAAACATCAAACACAAATTATCACATACCGCTTCTGACAAAAACCAGGAAAACAAGTAGAAAGCTTTGGATACATTAAATTCACTCTTTCGGGAGGAAATCTTTTATATCACATTCGTGTTCTGCTATTAAATCTTTGAATCCAAAGATCACGTAAACAGTATTTAAGAATTCAGTCCGTACCGCGAAGAAAACACAACATTTCACCATTACAAAGATAAACTGGTTAACGCTGTTTAAGAAAATAATCTCAGCTTCTACTGAAGATCAGATGAAACACAAAATATAGAATGCAGTTTTTGTTATAGCAGATGATACATATAATTACAAAATATCAGGATTTAAAGAGTTAAGTTTAATGAAATGTCGTTATATCAAATGTAAAATCCATTCCTAATCTTCAGGAATTAAAAGAACTGGACATCGTGAAGTTCATTAGTAAAATATTCGTACACCTGCAAATGAGTTCGTTGTATAAAGCTCTCTTACAGACAGCTACACTAATTAATTTCTCCCTTTTCTGTTTATATTCCAAAAAAATTATTTATCTACTTCAGACTTTTTGCTAAATACTTTTAATAAGCACACACGTTTTAAATTTATTTTCTAATTAATATTTATAAATAGTTATTCGAGAATTTTGGAATGTCAGTTCATGTATCTCATTAAAAATAAATTTGCAGTAATTATCACATTAACGCACATGTTTGTAAATATTAGTACACATAATGAAGGTAATAATAATTTATGATATTAATGAGTCAGGATTTTCTTGTGTACAGTCTACTTGAAATGAACTACAAATCACAACAGATGAACATCGCCATTTGGACCATTTGTGTGGTGGCGCAAATTCGTTTTACGTCTGGCAGCTTCCGACAGAATTTCCCAAACATAATAAACGGCATATCGGACAGTCAATTAACCATGGTATGAGGTAACTAAAATCATGATTCTTGCATCATACTTGTTAGCTGTATCTGCTCTAATTATATTACATAACTAAGAGATATTGACAAATTAAAGACGACTTGTCTTCTATGAGATGGAGCCACTAAATTATCCCTTTCAGACAAGCATCAGGGTTACATATTAAAGCAGACGGCAAGTGATTTATTTTAAATAAATTCAAATTCATTGCTCACATATAATCCTGACATTCGAAACTACACACCCTGAGTAGATGAACAGTGTCGTTAAATATATTAAGAACCAATCCATGAAATGTTTCACAGTGTCACATTTACTTCGCATTCATCATGTAGCATAGTAAATATTCAATTTCCTTCATTATCGTTAGTCAACAATCATTTATATAAATAACCTTACATTTCTGTGGTAATTTATACAATAACTTATAATATATTAATAATAACACAAGTGTAAGGTTATATATTCAAGTGATTTGTGTAGGTAGAATGACTTCAATGGAAATAATCTAATTAAGATTAATAACTTTATTTATTTAGTGTTCTGTCTGATGACAGGTCCATATGAACAGGATCCTTCCATCCTTTTCTCGGACTGGGACCTGTTCATATACGTTCTTGGCAGATGATCCAGAAGTGGTTTCCCATTGCCTTCTTCTGTGTGTGAATGGAGTAATTGTTGGGATGCCACGGAGGAAAACTCCATGTTGCCTAGACCACGGCCTTGCCCAACACAAGTTATAAATTCGGGCACCGCCGGGAATCGAACCCGAGAACCCCCAGGATTACAAGGCCAGCGTTCTAACCGCAAGACCACCATTGCATGAGCACAAATACTACAAAATCCTCCAACAGAATAATTATAAAAGACTGCAAATCATTTAAATTCTAAATACAAATCGTTAAATATTTCTGAATTGCCGTTACTTAACAGATATATCGAACTTTCTCTTATTCGAGAAAGTAAGCATATAAAACATAAATAGTTATCTTTCTTTTGTTATGTCTGTGAGTGTCATTTTTCGTGAGTCACGTAAGAATATTCAACAGCAGACAAATACAACAGTAACATACAACTTACAGCTGCCTCGTTCTTAAATTGTTTGGGTCATGCATTATTCATACACAATATAGGTTATTTAAGATGCTAAAAGGAAACTTCAACAGTGAATAACAATTCACACATTCTTTGGAGGAATTCGGAAAGGGATTTCAAAACCAAGTGATAATCAATACAGTAGATCTATTCTAGAGCCGGGATAGCTCAGTCAGTATAGTGACTAGTTACGGGCTGGACGACCGGGGTTCGATCCCCGATGGGGGCAGGATTTTTCCTCTAGCCTCTGCGTCCAGACCGGCTCTGGGGCCCACCCAGCCTGCTATTCTAAATTTTTCCAAGCCATTTTGATTTTACTTCATTTTCATTAGTTTTACCGAGGTTATACTTTATGACATAAATCAACATAAGTGCATCTTCCATTATTTCTATGTCCCTTAATAGTCAATGGTAAAATACATTAAAACGCATTTCACTAATGTATTTGCCTGATACAGAATTTTATATATATATCCATTCACACTCACACAGAAGAAGGCAATGGCAAACCCCTTCTGGATCATCTGCCAAGAACGTATATGAACAGGTCCCAGTCCGAGAAAAGGATGGAAGGATCCTGTTCATATGGACCTGTCGTCAGACAGAACACTAAGTAATATATATATATATATATATATATATATAAACGCGTATACACGTGTCACATGTAAAGAAAAGACAAATTCTTAATGTCTTCCCCACAGGATGCATTTGTCCAGTGCTTCTGAAATTTCAGATCAAAGAAAACTTTTTTAAGACACTTTAACAGCATAAAATACTCTAAAGCTCTCAGCTTCATATTCGCCCCCATGAGAACCTGAAACCTGCCAAAAACACCTTTAATTTAAAACAAAGTGCCTCAACCCTTTTGATATCTGTAGCCACATTCACCCTATCTTGTCGATTCGCATTTGAAAGTTTATAAATACGATAATTTATTCATAAATGATGGCATACGTACCAGTTCGAAGGTTTCTGACGATGCTGAATTATAACATGTAAAACAGTATTTTTAATAAATTATAAAACTGCAACTTTTCGGAACAATGCTTCCGAAACGTCTAAGATCTACAATTTTAAATTCATACGATGGATAAAGCCCAAAAGAACAATTTTACATATTCGTGGCAATTAATTAAAAAAAATTATACCTTACTATCGCAAAGATATTTGAAAATCACTCTAATTTCCTGTACAAATGTGCTCATATTTCATTATTCTTTATTGTTAGCTTTAAATTTATAATCGTCTCTGAATTTAGGTGATAACTATTTTTCTTTCTACGAAATTATATTAAATTACAAAATTGTACGTGGGCGGCAGAGATCTTCGAAACTCTCTTTAATTTATTACGAAATTTATCCGTGGACATTTGGTACTATTCTCACGTGTCCGTTACTAATAATTGGCTAATTTCTATGAGGCTTCAGTATGAAAAACATTTGTGTATTCTGTTATCAGTCCTGGCTATAAAGGCAACTGCCAACGAATTCTGTCTCTTACCTCCAGAGAAAGCGCCCAGAGTAGTCGTTGAATAGATAATTTTATGGACCCACAAGCCGTTCTGGGTAAAGGTGAAGACTCATAATCTTTGAAATTATTTCCAGTGGCACGAATTCTCTGTACTGTTAAGAAATCAGGTCAGATAAGATTCTTAAACAAACTCGTCTGACTGACGAGTGCTGATTTCATAAACACTCGTCCCACTTTTTAAAGTACAATAAATACATTTTATGAATTTTGAAACATATTCAAAGAATGCACGATATAGTACATTCTCCTTGGGAGGATAATATTAAAATGGATCTGAAATAAATAAGATCTGATATTGTGGACCAGGAGCCACGGTGGTCTAGCGGTTAGAACGCTGGCCTTGTAATCCTGGGGGTCTCGGTTTCGATTCCCGGTGGTGCCCGAATTTATAACTTGTGTTGGACAAGGCCGTGGTCTAGGCAACACGGAGTTTTCCTCCGTGGCATCCCAACAATTACTCCATTCACACACAGAAGAAGGCAATGGCAAACCACTTCTGGATCATCTGCCAAGAACGTATATGAACAGGTCCCAGTCCGAGAAAAGGATGGAAGGATCCTGTTCATATGGACCTGTCGTCAGATAGAACACTAATAATAATAATAATGTCTCACCGAGAAAAAAATCTTTAGACAGATAAAAAAATATAAAAAAAATTTGATACGTAGCAGCTGTCATGGCCAAGCGTTACGATGGCACGCAAGACAGACTTCGCCATAAAGCGGCTACATCATCTGCATACTTAATACAACGCGGGACGTCACAATTCCTACACATAGATGACGACATTCTACACAATAAATGTACATAGTTTTGACGATTATGGCCATTGTGAAACGGGATTCTTGTTGCGAAAGTTTACATTACTGTGATACAGTGACTAAACAACTACGCGAATGACTCATAAAAAATGCTTACCCAAGAGAAATGTCCGTCCGGATTTCTTTCGTTCTTTACATTAATAAGACAAACAGGTTCAAGAACCGTCTGAAATATAAATCACTTATGAGAGGCGTTGCGTATCAACAGAGCCTGAAGACATGTTTATTAAAAAAATTTTTTATTAATATTCAAAAGATTATACCCTCTAATCCGTTCCGATCAGCAATTAATTCCAAAAAAACAAATTACGATCCAAAGATTTTCTTGGGTAAGGGATCGATACCTCGCAAAGACTTAAATAATTCTGTTTGGCAATCATTTTTTCGTTCCTCGGGAGCTTTACAAGCTAGTAAGAATAATTTTCCCTCACTTTATAGGAACTGAATTCCTACCCATAAAAATACCTTACTTTCAGACTAAAATAGTTCGAAAATCTCAGATGACCATATTTTATTTTAAAAAATCAATGTCTCAAATTCATAAACAAGCTAAACTTTCTCCATTCAGCATATATTTCTCATTAGTTCGTTGGAGACGACCAGCTGTTATAGTGACATTTGTATTACTTATTAGACAAACGGCAGGAGTTGTTCGTACAAACATCATTAAATTTTAACTCAGAAACAGATGGTTCATGCGATGTATTTTTAAAATTCTCTACTGGTCACGTGTTAATTGTTTAAGGCTTCTGACATATGTAAATGAGCGCCTTTATTTACGTTAAGAAAGTAATGTAGAAAGTGTTCTCAAATGTATTGAAAGCTCGTACATGCAGTTTCCCGTCAGAGCAAACTTACGGTACAGCACACTGTGTAAGCAGATGGTACGGAAGATTTTAGAACCACGATATTTGACTTGTTCGCCTCGGAAATACACAATTCTAAGAGTATAATTTTTCGGTACATTCAGTGAGAGATCAGTCCATATAAATAATCTCTCACAAGACAACAGAATGACTCAACGTCTTACTCGTGGCCACTAGAATCGACCGGACTTACATACTAACGTCTACAAATCGTAAAACACTGTCTAACATTAAGGTTCTCTTTCGGTGACCCTGAAGATGGCTGTCTTCGATTCAGGTTCTCTCTTCGGTGACCCTGAAGATGGCTGTCTTCTTGGTTGTAGCGCCGTGTAGTGTGGTAGAAGTCTACCGACGTTTCAGAGGTCCTAGCTGCCTCCAATATCAGAGCTATCGACTGATTTTTTAAGTAATAAACCTTCAGGTTCCATTAAAGTTAAACGTTAATTTTCCTATGAAGTACTCGGCTCCACTGAGTTAATAACTCCTTTTGAAATTCCAAATACCAAATTAAAACAATGTTCTATCAGTAACTTCCTAAACCGAAACAGGTTCGTCAGGTCATTTCATGAATTTAGTTAAGATAAATCATAACATAAATATATGCAACATAATACTCATATTTATTTATTAAAGGTTCTATATCAAACCAACGCGATATGTGGTTGAGATAACGGTACAATAAGGAATAGTGGTATACAGTAACGCTGTTAAATACACGCATGCGCACTGAGTGCGGAATTCTACTGTGACGCTGTATAACTTTATACCGTTGTTTCGTATACTTGATTCCAGCGTTTTTGGCCGCTGAGCTTTATGAATTTGAACCTCGGAGCGAGTCACTTACCAGAAGTTTGCTGGAAGGGATGACAGCAGGCTGCGTACAGTACACTCCAAATAAAATTAAACATTACCATGTTATATAACAAAAGAACGTTGATTTCACTACAATAAATCACTAGAAAATTAACACTGCAGAGAGTATTAGATAATTTTATGTTCACAACTCTTCGGTCCTCTTCCAAATCTTCCACTCCTCACAGACCATCGCTTTCTGACATCACTCGATTCATCTCTACCGCCGCTGCTGTCCAATCCATTATCTTCAATTTTAATGCGTTCGATAGCGTCTCCGATTATGCCTTCTTGCTCATAATAAATTTGTTTTGGTTTTTCATTCCTCTTGCCCAATTTCTTCGAATCTCTGGCGACACAGATCCTCGACGTCCTTAATTTTAAATGTTGTGTTCTTACTTGCAACCCAATGTTTTACATCTGCCCAAATAAGTTTAATGGGATTTAAATCGTGATTGTACAGCGGAAGTCTCAGCACAGTAAATTCTTTGTCTGCTAAAATCTGATCAATCACATAACATTTGTGCTTTGGTTTATTTAATTTGATTAAATCTTACAGTTGAGCTTTCAACACGTTGTCACAAAATGGGATGTTTATTTCCAATATCCAGGCTTTCATTACGTCCTTCTTTGATTAAGACGTCGGTGGTTTGTCTGAGTGTTGTGATATTAGGTCCATATGAACAGGATCCTTCCATCCTTTTCTCGGACTGGGACCTGTTCATATACGTTCTTGGCAGATGATCCAGAAGTGGTTTGCCATTGCCTGCTTCTGTGTGTGAATAGAGTAATTGTTGGGATGCCACGGAGGAAAACCCCGGGTTGCCTAGACCACGGCCTTGCCCAACAAAAGTTATAAATTCGGGCACCGCCGGGAATCGAACCCGAGACCCCAGGATTACAAGCCCAGCGTTCTAACCGCTAGACCACCACCGTGGCAATCAGGCAGTTACTTTTTATTATTTCAATTACGTGATCATTTCCTCAGTTTGTTGGCCAATTGGAAAATGATCAGAAAGGAGATTGCGACAAACAGGTGTCATGTTAACACAGCTCAGTCACAAGACAACAATATCAGGCTTCCACACTGCTGCACTGACACAGACTGTACTGACCGACGGAAACTCCTTCCTTCCTTTATTGATTGGTCCGCATACTGGGCACTCCCTACAAGGTCAGCGGCCATAATCGGTGGATCCAGTTCTACCGCAGCGCTGTCTCAACTGTTAACACTTTCTCTGTTATCGTAGCCGAAGCTGATAACGACGCACAATTATCCTGAAGAGACTCACGAAGTACGAACCGCAGATGGCTACAGACTCACAATTCATCGCATCCCGTACAGTCCAGGACAATTCGGAAGAGACGACAAACCAGTCGTACTCCTGATTCACGGACTGCTTGGAAGTTCCGCGGACTGGGTCATCGCTGGCCCACAAAAGGGGTTAGGTAATAGCGATTTAGAAAACATGTGAAATCGATCACACATTAAATCATGATTCGTTATAAAGACCAGTTATGACACAATTTGGGTTGTTGCCAAGTATTATTATATGTTAATATTCTTAAAGAATCTAAATTAATGGAAAAGAAAAAAATTCTAAAAGTTCATTACCATTCAATATAAATCTTGTATTTGTGAGGTACAGGCCTGACAAAATTCTGTTATCTAGAGCTCATAGCACGGAATATGTACAGTCTATTAACCTAAATAAGCCCTCTTTAATTCTTCGAGAAATATACTAACACCATGTGCCATAGCTGTCTTCGATAATGTAATAGTACATTCAGGTATAGTCAGTAAATTATTCCGCCTTTTATGGAACCCGAATGTTCACGACAGTATTTACAAAAGCATCCCACCGATCCCATATCCTGAGCCACATGAATCCAATCTACACCCTCCAAACATGATTCCCTAACATTCGTTTTAATATTATCTTCTTATCGCCTGGACCTTTCTCTTCAGATTTTCCAACATGGAGCTCCTGATTATGCAATTTTATTTAGATTTCTGTTATTTCATCCCTCTTACGTCGAATTATTATCCTCAGTTCCCAGTCTTCAAACACCCTTGATCTCCCTTCTGCACTTAACATGAGAGACCATGTTTCAAACCCATATAGATAGACAAACACAACAAAGGGACTTTAAATAAGTGGTACCAAGCATTTTACAAATTTAATCTGATCCTAATTTCCTCGTGAATGCAATTTTGTTCTGTTACCGTCTTTCTAAACATTTTAACTTAGCCAAATTTTAAAGGCTATATTAGGAGCCTTTACATAAAAATGATATTTTGCAGTCTGCTGACGAAATATTAACATATACTTAATTTTCTCTGCGTTTACTTCAGGGCCAAATTCCTTCCTAGCATCTAACACAGTTTCTGTGTTTTTCATCAAAATATCTATGTTTTCATCTAATAAATGATCATAGCTAGTAAGTCATATTTAAGCCAAATTTAGTATATTAATCTATTAACAGTTTAAAGACATTAAAACCCGCTATGCTTAGGTATAAAATAAACATGACAGACAAAAATAAAATAAAATAAAATAAGATAGTGTAGTTGCGTCATATTGTGATTTATTAAATTAAAATTGTAATTGAGTTTTAAATTTAATATAATTTTACACCTGATGATGGTTTAATAAAACCGAAACATGTTGTAAATTTTCCAATTGTAAATCGATTATTCGATATGGAACACAGAATGATATTTTAATTATTTTAATTATCTTATTTTAAATACATTGTGATTTGACGGAATAACAAAATAATTTAATTTTAAAATAAGATAAGATAAAATGGTCGAAAATTTTATCTCGTTCTTTGAATCATGATTTTTTTATAAAATTAACAATGACTTGAAATCAAAAACTGTCTATGAGCTATCAACGTCTTTAAAATAAACTCAGTTGTATGGGAAAATACAGCTATCATCTACTTTGCGCGACATTATTATTTTTTTTGCTGGGACCTCCAATATAAATATGAATATCCATTGCAGTCTGCTGGAAATTAAACCACGGATTCCAATTTTACAAAAACCATTTTATACCTGCCTTTCAGTGTGGAACTTCTTTGAACTAATTTAAGTACGATTTACCCATAACGGATTTGTTTTGTTGTTTTTGGTTTCGTTTCTTTCAATCAGCATTTGTCTTGTCTGATGCTGGTTATGATGTGTGGCTCGGAAATTCAAGAGGAAACACGTATTCTAGAAGACACGAGTATTTAACGACAAATGATAACGATTTCTGGAACTTCAGGTAAGCCATATGCCTCAACATGTCCAATTTCATGCACTAGCATTATAGTACACAGTAACAGATTTAAAGTTCATAGCGTAATTAATTTTTAGCACAGTAATGCAAGATTTATCACTGATTCTACAGTTCTATAAAGTAGCTACTCCAATGGAGTATTACGTCTGGTGAATGTTACTCGTATTTTATTAATTTATATTCTTAATTAAACTACATTTTTAACATATGCCATACTCTACGATTTATAGTCTTAAGAAAGTGTTATATTAGCCGTCACCAAATTGCATGCTTCGAAGTCACACGGAGTGATGATAGCTCAGAACTCGCAGCTTAGCAAAGCTAGTTAGAGGGGCGTAGTCAGTCGGTGGCCTTGAAGCATACAATTAAATATAAATTAAGAATATAAAGTCACATGCACTGTGTTTCAGGGCTTCATTAAATTTCACCAAAGATTAAGAAACTTAGTTTACTGAACTACGTTATCCATTCTTGAATAAAACTCAACGGGAAAACAAAACGAGAAAGCCTTTGAAGATTTATGTCTTCTGGGTTGTTGCGCTGTGTAGTCTGGTAGAAGTTTACCGTCGTTTCACAGGTCCTTTCTGCCTCCATCATCAGGGCGATGATGATTTCTGTCTTCTGGGTTCTTGCGCTGTGTAGTCTGGTCGATGTTAACCGACGTTTCAGAGGTCATACTGCCTCCATCATCAGGGCGATGAGTATGAAGATTTCTGTCTTCTGGGTTGTTGCGCTGTGTAGTCTGGTCGATATTAACCAACTTTTCAGAGGTCATACTGCCTCCATCATCAGGGCGATGAGTATGAAGATTTCTGTCTTCTGGGTTGTTGCGCTGTGTAGTCTGGTCGATATTAACCAACTTTTCAGAGGTCATACTGCCTCCATCATCAGGGCGATGAGTATGAAGATTT